ATTGTGATATAATAATACGAGCGGCCCAAATTTATTTAAATAAATTCTATAATTATTTTATATGTTATTTTTTTTAAATGAAATTAAAATTTGATTTTTTTTTTTTTTTAAATATATTTGAAAAATGAGATAAATAGAAAATATGTTATAGTTTTATAAAAAATGTATCTATTCCATGTAATGTTTTTTAAAAAACATAAAATAATAATATATTTTAGTAAAATTAAAATACAAAATAAATAAATAATAAGAAAAATACAGAATAGTTAAATAATAAATATTTAATTATATAAAAAAAAAAACAATAAATAAAAATAATTAAAACTTTAAAAAAAAAAGTTATAATACTTAAAAAATGAAACATTAATAAAAATAAATTAAAATCTAAAAAGAAAACTAATTTCTTTTACTAAAATCTAAATATAAAACATATTTAAAATCTAAGTTTTTTATATTTTTTAGTATCATTACTATAATTGAATTCATAATAAATTATAAATTATTAATTTATATTGGATTTTTATTTTAAGTCCTAACAATAATTCTTAATAATTAGAATTAAAAAGACTCTATTCATTATATAAAAACTCTTTCTAAAGCTTAAGTATTTTTGAATTATTTAAATTACTAAAATTTATTAATTTAAGTAAATTATGATTTCTAAAAATTAAATAATTTGCATTTAATTGAATTTTTTCTTTTTTTTCTTCACCTAATTACTGTTATATATATTAATTTAAGAGATTGCATTAATTAATAGTTTTTAAAAGATATTTATGAAATATAATATTTAAAGTTAAAAAAAATAATAATTATAGGAAAACCATTTTCAAAAGTAAGAAAACATGCAAAAATGTTAAGAAAACATGTAAAGAATTTAAGAAAATTTATAGAGAAAAATTGAAAAATAAGAAAACTTAAAAAAAATTGAAAATAATAAAAATTATATAAATAAAAAATATTAAAAATAAAAAAATAAAATCAAAGAAACAACTTCATGAAATAAAAGAAATACAAGAAGTTGAAAACGAGGAAATATAATCATTTTTAAATAAAGATTTTTCATATATTGAAGATGCAGAAAAAGAAGCGTATACACAAAAAACGAATAATACTTTTTCATAAAATGATTAAAATTACTTATAATTGTATGATGAAACAGAAAATTCTACAAATGATGAAAGCTTTTATAATTCATTTAATTCAAACTTAAATTCTTACAATTCTAACTAGAATTCTAATATTATTTATTAAAAATAATAGTTCAAAAAATTCTATAATGATGAATTTTAAAAGGAAGATGGAGTTTAATAAGAAGATGAAGTTTAATAATAGGATATCCAAAAATAAATAGGAGAAGAATAAAAGTTTTAGTAGATATATTAAAATTAAATTGAATAAGTTAACTATATAGAAGAAGATAAACAAACATATAATTTCTAAATTAATTATTTATAAAAATAATTAAAAATTGACATAACTAATTTACTGTTTTTCGATTAATAATTTGACTTTTAATGTTAATAATAAAATATATTTGATGAAGATCTTATACTTAATACAAAAATAAATATAATTTATAGTTTATTGTAATAAAATATGGATTTATAATACAATTTTTTTTTAGAATCTTTATTAACAGAGTATAGTAAATCTATTTATATGATGTATCAAGAAAAATGATAGTAATAAAATAACTACATATCAGTCTGAAGAACAAAATAAAAAAAATATATATTTATTTATATTTAAACTATAAAAAATCAATAATTTTATTTGTATAATTATATAAGCTTTATAAATATTTTTATCTTTTAATTTATCTTTTTTTATTTTTATTTTTATTTTTCTTAGTATTTGTTATTTTATTTAATTTTTATCAGTTACATTGTATATTATTATAAAGTTATATATTTTTTATGTATAATTAATTATTTAAATTTTATTTTATTTTTTTCTCCATATATAATAATTATAATTCTGTTTGCTTTTTCTATATTGTATCATTTTAAATTAATTATATATTATTTTTATAAAATAATTTAATTTTAAATTTCATTTTTAAAAATATTATTAATTTTACATATTTTTTTTTAATTTTTAAAATTAATTTTTTATTAATACTAAGCTATAATTTTGCAAATAAATTTATATTTTTAAAAATTTTTTTATTATTATTATTAAAAATTTTTAAATATATTAATTAGTCATTTATTAATAATTATTTAAATTTTCAAATTATTTATTTTATTAATTGAATTATATATAAAATTTATTAATTAAATCTAAATCGTATGATAATTTTTAACTAATTTTCTTTATTTTTAAAACCTAAGATTACATTGAAATAAAAATATTGATAAAATATTAAGAAAACATTTAAAATAATATCTAAAGTTCTGTTTAATTTTTAAATAATTAATTGATTTTTCCTAGTAAAAAGTATTATTTAATAAATTTAATGATAGATTAAATATATTTTAAGTTTGTTTGTAATAAATAAAATATCTTAAAAAATTTATTTATTACTTAAATTATTATAAATATATTTTTTTTTCAATTTTTAAATTAAAAATATATTTAAAATAATTTAAAAGCATTTATAATTTAAATAGAATATTATAATAAAAATAAAATTAAAAGTAATATATAATTTCAAAAAATTATTCAAATATATATTTTTTATTTAAATTCAATAATATAGTTTTTTGTTATTGACATTAATTTTTTAAAATTTCTAAATATAGGGAATAAAATATAATTTAAAAAAATAAAAAAAGTTATTAAAATCTTATAATATTATAGAAATTGAAGTTAAAATAATAATAATATATTTATTAAATTGTTTTTATTAAATAATTATTGAAATTAAAAAAAACATTATATATTTAATAATATATATAAATATATATATATATATATTTATATATATTTTTTTTTTTTATAGTTTTAATATAATTTATTTATTAAAAATATATTTATATAATATGAATTTAATTAAAATATAAAAAATCACAAGACCACCTTATATTATTAAAATTATTCATCAATCTCTTTATTATATTTATCATTAATTATTTCATATATTTATAGATTATACTATTTACAAAATTCAGCAATATTTTTATTAATAGCCTTACTTCCATTACTAAATTAATCAAGAATATAAATTAAATAAAGAGTTTTTTATTAAACACTCAAAATTTTTTAAATTCTATCAGTATAACCATATTATTCATTAGATGCTTAAATTTATAACCTATTAACTATTTTTTTTTAGCTAATTTTAGTTTCTTGAAGAGAGAAAACAGAGATTTTAAGAGGAGAAACTAAAAATACATTATTATAATTTATTTAATTTAAACTGTTATAAAGAAAAGAGAAATAATCTGTCTAAACTTCAAAAGAAGTTAGATTTTGATAATTTTTGATTATTTTTTTACTAAACTCAATTATATAATCATATGGAACCTACTCGTTATTTATTAAAATGAGTTTTAGTTATTTCAAAGAATTGAAATTCTATAAAGCTAAAAAATCAAAAATAGATTAACTATCTTCCACTTTAAGACAACAATAATTTAGGTCAAGTTAAATATTTTCTAAATATTTGATTTAAGGTAAAATAATATTGTCACATATTTATTATTTAAATATGTCTTAATTCATGTAATAATTCTATAAAAAATACAATTTACAAGACTAATACTTCTATTATGAATTTCCTATATTAAAGGCAATATTTTTGACTTTGTTTTAATATTAAGTATAATCTCCAATACTTTCTGGTACGAAATTTATATACAATTAATTATTTTTTGTTTATATAAGATAATTAGCATCCATATCATATTAAATTTTAAGATTTTTGACTTATAAAACTTAAGAAAATAACGATATAAATTCTAATTCTGTAATATTTGTATTAGAAATATTCCAAAAAAAGAAGTCTAGATTTTGCTTTTTTAAAGACTCTAATTCTGAAATAAAGTTCTTTAAATTTCTATAAGTTAACTTGTAATTATTGCTAAAATCAATACTTAAAAAATTTAATAAAGGGAAATTATTTAAAGCCTTGAGTACATCAATTAATTAAAAGGGTGAGATTTCACAATTTGATATATCCAAAAAGATTTATGTAGAATTTTAATTTTTTTCGAAAATCTTTTTTTTGAAATTAGTATATATTTTTAAAATAGGTATATGCTTTAAATATTCTATAAAATGAAATAAACTATATTATTCGTATTATTTAATTATTTATGTTTCTTTATCTAATATTATTGTAAATGATTGTAAATAAGGATAGTTGATTTCATTAAAAATTGAGAAAAATTATTCAGGTAATTATTAGTTTCCTTCAAAGTTTAATACTAAGACTCTTAATTAACTCTTGTTTTCAAAACTATAATTGGTTTATATTTGAAAAAATCTTCGCAGTTTTCTTTAATCTAATCCACAGTTTTTTAATTATATAGTTAACTTTTGTAAATAGCTTAATACTTTTGCTAATTCACCTAAATAATCTTCAGTTATCAAATTATTTTTTTTATTATTTTAGGAAATATTATTAGTATTCAAAGTAATATTTTAACTATTTAAAGAAAAGCTTTAAGAATTTAAAGGAAAAGTTAAATCATTATTAATATTATTATTATTAAGAAATGAAAAATTCTAAAAAGTGGACAAATGTGGATTGTCATCCAGTTAAATATTTAGATTTTTCCAATCAAATTCTAGTAAATATTTTTTAAGTTATCGTATATGTTTAGTTCCAAAAGAAGGAAAAGCAGAATAATCAAGATTTACAAAACCATCTTTTTTATTAAAAAATAAGCTTTTTTTGCCCAAGTTAAGTTAAATAAATGGAATATAAGATAACGGGAAAAATTATAAATTTATTTAATGTTTTTTTTTTTTATTTATTTTTCCAAAAGAAAGTATTAATTCTTATAAATTTGCCAATTTAATATATTTTATACATCCTAAGCTTTCCTCATTAAAATTCTTTATTCCATTAATAAAATTTAAGCTCAGTTTCTTCAAACAATCATTTTGAGATTCAAAAAGGCAATAATCAGTTAATTATATATATTCATCTTCAAATAAAAGTTCAATTTCATCATATTTTTTGTCTTGAAATGCCTATTTTAATATACTTCGATAGTCTTCATCTATAGAACTATTCGCGAAATGAAGTTTAAGGACTTTTTTTGGAATAGCTTCTTCTTTTTCTTTTATAAAATCTTCCTTTTATTCCAAGATTCCGTTTGTTTTTTTACTGTTCTATATTTAATAAGTATTAGAGCTTCTCTTTCTTAAGAATTTATCTTTTTTAGATCTCGAAGATCTTATAGAACTATTAGAATTACTAAGATTTTCTAAAATTTTATCTTCTTGGAAATTCTCATATTTTGAAACTTCATTTAATGATTTTTAATTTTTAAATTAAATACTTTTACTACTTTATTATATTTAAAATTTAGTTAAAGTTAAGAATTACTGTTTTTTATTTGTTTTCTCCTAAGCCTCTTTTACTTAGTTAGTTTTATTTTAATTAATATCCTTTGTACCTGATATTAAAGGTATTTAGGCTTCTGTTTTACTTTTTCCATTTTTCATATTTTATTAGCTTATTCCAACATTTCTCTTTATTCGATAATTATTACGACTTAATACTTTTTAACGTGTTTAACCTTCTGTTTTTTCTGGTGAATTATGTTTATATAAGTTATTCGGAATTTTTTATAAAGTTAATGGATATTTTAATGGATTGATAATTTTAATTTTATTTTATAAATCAATACTTTAGCTTTTCATTGTTTTTTTTGTTTTGTTTTTTTTTGTTTAAAAAAGAAAATTATTAATTTTTAATTTTAAAAATTATATATATTAAATAAATATTATATTTATAAATCTATAAACTTTTTATGCTATTCTTTGATAATTATGGTTTTTTTTTTATTTAGATTATAAATCTAAAATAGTGAAAAGTACATTAGATATATTCAAAGTATTTTTATATCAATCAATATTAAAGGACATAATAAATTATTAAGTAAAAATCAAGATAAATAACTTGTATGTTTTTTATCATATATAGTAAAACTCTTAAAAATTTACTATGAATGACTTTATTATTAAAATGTATATATTTACAATAGAATGTTATTTGTGTTTGCCTTTGTTATTATAAAAGTGATAAAAAATTATAATTTCTTTAATTTAATTAAAAAAACAATATTTTGAAAAATTTCAAGTGAACATATAATAAACAAAAAAATAATATTATTTATTTTTTATTTAATTATAATCAAATTAAATTTGGTATAAATGTCTTTATATTTTTTTTTTTAATAAATGATTAGGAGAATTTTGTAAAAGCCAAAAAATGCAAGAATTGAAACAAAACAAAGCTTTAAGATCGCGTTTCATATCCATTCCAAAATAATTAGCTTAAGAAATATAAATATATAAACATTTAATTCGAATTTCATATATTTAATATTTTTTTTAGATTTTAATTGTTTTTTAAATCAAAAAGTAAATTACACCGTCAAATTCTTATTTAATTATAAGAATTTTTAAAAGGTAAATAAATACTCAGTTCACTAATATGTATTATAAATGGTTAAATATGAAATATTATTATTATTATTTTAAAATTTAGTATCTTTTTAAATAAAAAATATTACTTATTTATATGGTTTTTTTTTTTAAATTAAACAAAAAAAATATGCGATAAAAAAAAAATTGTTGAATTTAAAATAACATAGACAAAATATAATATAAAATAAATTAACAATTTACAAATATAAAGCAACATATATATATTGTTATTTTACAATAGTTTGTTTCAATTTTTATAAATGATTAAACCCATATTCCATCCATAGAGTATAAAATACTATTATAAATATAGATAAACTTTCTCTATTTTTTTTAAATAGCTTAATTATATTTTTTAAATAATATTTATTTATACCATTTATCTCAATATAATTTACTCTTTTATTTATTATATATATGAAAAAAAATTCGATTATTTTAATAATAATTAAAACATAATTTTCTAAATATTTGAGAGAAAAATCAATTTATTTATTAATTAAGTATATCTTTAAAAATTTAAGTATATTAATTTATTAAAAGAAATAAATATTAATATGAAAAATTTATAAGATATAAAGATTTATTTATAATAAAAAATGTTTAATTTTCAGTTTAATACACCTTCAAATAATTAAATAGATTTCTATAAATAAATTGTGTAAATAAACATATTTATTTAATTTGAAAACTTTAACAAAGTTTAAAATTTTTTAGATTAAAAATGTATAGTTTAATAACTATTTATTTATTTATGAGAAATGTTACAGAATTTTAATATATATACCTATTAAAAATAAAAAAAAATATGTAAATCTTGTGTTTAAAAGATAAATAATTTAAAAATATAATAATATGTTTTATTTTCAAATGTTATATTTTAATGAAATTTTAAATAAATTTTCATTCAAACGATTCATATTTAATTTGCTAAATTTAGAGACTCTTTATTAGTACTTGATCTAATATAAGCCTTCTTTTAACCGCTAACAGCATTTAAAAAGTATTAATAGTTCTAACTTTAACATTGTAAAGTTATTCAAAAGATTTTTTAATGTAAGGTTTTTTGGCATTGTTTTTAACTAAAAATACCATAGTTTTTTCGTCTTTCATTTTTTTTCATAGCTTTTTTTGTGGTTAAAGGATTTTTGAATATATTTGGATTTTAAAGTTTGATATGTGCTCTTATAATTCTTTAGTATTTAAGAGCTCTCTGTTATTGCAATGTTTTATTTAGGTAAAATCTAATTTTAGTGCGTGTTTTTATCTAGATAAGGATGTTCCTTATTAAGGATTTTTTTGTAAAAATAATGGCTTTACTCATAGCTGTTTATTTTATTACTTATGTTTCTTTCGACTTTTTTATTTTTGTATTTATTTTACTATTTAGTATTATTTTAGATTTAATTTAATATTTTATTTTTTGGAAGAAAAACATTTTAATAAATTTTAATATAGAATAAAAAGAATATATTAATTTTTTATTAAAAATAAAGATGAAATTTTTATAAAAAAAACCTTTTTTTTTTTTCTTTTTTAAGCATAAAATAAACTTTGGATACTTAATTTATACTAATAAAATTTACTATTAATATCTACTAATTTAAATATAAAAATTAATAGTTTTAATTTTTAATAATGAATAAAATATAAATCAATAGAAATAAAAATAACAAAATAATAATTAATTGTTTATAAATACATTAAAAATATTAGAAAAAAAAATTATTTAAAAAGTCATTTATCATATTCATTTAACACTTTATTTAACCAATCAAGTCCTTCATAAATACCTTCCCCTGTAGTTGCACAACATTTTTGAATATGCCATTTAGAAATACCTTTGAGTTTATCAAATTAAATATTATCTACTATTTAGTTTTCAGATAATCTTGCAATGTCTATTTTATTAGCATAAAAAAGTAAAGGAATATTATAATTATTAATATTATTATCTAATACATTAAATAAGCTTTATTTTGCTTCATCAAATCTTTCAACATCAGAACTATCAAATACATATATTAATGCACTTAAATTTTTAAAATAATGATGCCATAATTGGCGTAATTTCCATTAACCGCCGACATCCCAAACAGTAAACTCTACGTTTTTATATTTTATTTTTTCTAAATTAAATCCTATTGTTGGTACACTTGCTACAGATTAATTTAATTTTAATTAATATAAAATCGTTGTCTTTCCTACTGCATCTAAACCTAACATTAATATTCTTCTTTCTTTTTATGAACCTAATTAATCTAAAACTTTAGACAAAAAACTACCCATTTAATAATTAATTTATATATTTATTTATTAACTTTTAATTTTTGTTTTGTTTTAGGATTTTTTAAATATAAGCTTATATTTTTTAATTATAAATTATTTATTTTTAAAGTAATTTTTAATATTTTTTGTTATATATTTACTTTAAAATTTCATATTACATATAAAATATAAATAATTTTTTATTTTTATTTATTTTTTTGTTAAAATAAATAATATTATATATGTTTGTTTTAAAATTAAAAAATTATAATTATAATATTTTATATTATTTAATATATTTTATATAAGTAAAAATTTTTAAAATAAAATTTAAAAAAAAAAAAAATTTATTAAGAGTATAATTTTAATATTAAGATTAAATATAATATATATTATACATTTATTAACATAAAAATAAAATTTATTGAATAAAACATAAATAAATTTAATATAATAATGTATTATCTTTATATAAAATAAAAAAAAAAGAAATAAGTTTATAATATTCACAATACATTTATTTAAAATAAAAAACGTGTAAAATAAATATTATTAAAAATAAAAAAAAATAGAAAATAATATTATAAAACTAGATAAATAAAATATTAATAATAAAAATAAAATAATATAAAAAAAATATATAAATATAAAAAAATATGAATAAATACATATACAATATATTTAAAAATATAAATATGAATATATAAATATATAAATATATATAATAATATATATATATATATATATATATATATATATAAAGCTCTTACTTTTAACTAAAACTATGAAAATAACGCGATTTAAAGTTTTCATGAAATTCACTTGAATTTAAGAGTAATCTAATTTTTAATATATTATAATTTTTTTCTATAATGAATCCTTAGAACATTATTATTAAATTATTAGAAATTATTTACATCCTATATAAATATATAAAATATGAAATAAATAATCTTTAACTTTTTCTTTTTTTAAAATATGCTTATTATAATATCCTATTTTATATAGTGTGTAAAATTTTTTTTTTATTAGAAATAGTTTACATAATAATAGAAATCAAAATAAGAACTAACAAACAAAAAACAGTTAAACTTATTAAAGATTTAATATTTTTTATTTAAAATACAATTTCACTTATTTTTTCAATTTTTAATTTGTATTTTCTAATTTTATATCATTAACAATTTTTACTTATTATAATTAATTTAATTAATAAATTTTTATATTCCTTTTTTCTATTATTTTAAACTTTTGCTATATTTTATTAGTATTTATCTTTAATCTATTTAATATAGGATTCCATTTTTTATTGCGACGATGCAAATTTTTTATTATCTAAAAATTTTCATTAAAAATTTATTTTGTATCATTTAATGTTTATAATGGCCTTACTAATTTTGAGATGCTTAATTGCAAAAAACCATTACCATTATTATTATATTTAAAAAAATATGAATTCTCTAATTAGAAAGAGGAAAGCTATATATATTATTGTTTGCGTTAAGATCATTTCTTTTTATTTATATTTCTTGTTAATTTTTTTGTCTTAAACTAAAAATTTTTTTTATCTTTCATTTTTTTAAATTATATAAATATTTTTTTGGAAAAATAAAAAAAAGAATGATTTTTAATTATTTTAACTATTAGATTTTTTTCAATATATAATTTTAAAATTTTGTAATATTAAAACAAAAATTAATGATGCTATTAACTTCTAAGAATTATAATAAAATAAAATAACTATTCAGTATATACATTTTTTTTTTTTTAATCGTACAAGTTGATTTAAAACATGCCAAGATGCCTTTAAATATTTATTTTTAAAAACAAAATCTTTACATTTTTTTATATCTATATTTTAAAAATTGAAATAAATTATATTTGATAATTATAGTGTAGTGAATAAAATAATAATATTCAATTTTTACTACAAAAATAATAATAATTCATGTTTTAATAACGTATATGTAAAAAAAAATTAAATATTTTAAACCATTTTTTTTAATTTATTTGAATTAATAAAATATTTCATAAAAGAAATTATAATAACATTTAATTTATAATATATAGTTATTCTATATTTTTTTGTTATTTTCCTTTTTTATTCTTTTTTGTTCTCTATAAAAAAAGTAAGAATAAAATAAAATTTCACACAATTTATTTTATAATTATACAATATTATTTTAAAATAAAATAGAAATTATTATTAAATATTAAATAAATCTAGAAAAAAAATAAAATTATAAAATATAGTTATTTTTTTATATTTCAATTGTAGACTTATTCAAGCTAATTATTTAAAATTTATTCATATTAATTATTAGGAATATTTTCAATCTAATTTAAATGATTATCAAAATCAAACCCAAATTTATCTTAGTAAAGTTTTTCAAGAACTGAAACTTCCAAGACACAAATCATATGAGTAAAAAATTATTTTTAAATAATAGGATCTTTGTATTCTAACATATAATTTTGTAAATTAAAGCAATAATTAATCAAATTCTATGTATATAAATTAAAGAAATTTTAAGTAAAGTTTTATTCTTTAATTTCAAGTAATAATTATTCATTTTAATGATTAGCATTTTTCATGATTTAAAGAATGTCAGATTATAGAGATTCAAAATAAAGTCTAATAATTTCTTATTCAGCTTATAAATAATTTATAATGTCAATGTAAAACTTAGAATTTAAAAAATCGTTGAAGTATTCAAAATTAAAAATGTTTTTTTTTTCTAAAAGAAAATTTAAAATTTATTAATTCATTTCTTTAACATATTTCTGCATTAAAAATATAGGTAAATGCTTATTCAAGTTAATTTTAGGTAATTTATAGGCTTATTCAACAACTTTCATACAATATCCATACATCTATTTTAAAATTTATAAAAATATTTATATATAAATATTTAAAATTTGTTTATATTTACATTTCTTTTGTGAAGGTATTTTTCTACTATTGTATTCATCTGTTTTTCAATTTTTTTTTTTATTCCGCGTCTTTTTAAATTTGCATATAATCAAAATTTTACTAAATCTAAATATTTTACTATTATTATTATTATTATTATTATTATTATTATTATTATTATTATTGTTAATACATTTATTACTATTATTGTAAATGTAATTATTACTATTATTAATTTTACAGTTATTCATACATTTTTTTATTTTCTGCTAAACTAATTCTTTATCCTATTAAATTATTTGCTCGTACACTTAAAAATATTGAATTTTTAACTTCTTCATTAAATACAGGATGTTCATACATTTATTACCATGTTATTCTTTTATTTCTATCATAACAAATCATTTTTTATAGCAAATCTTTTAAATCATTTGAAATTACAACATCATTTAAATTTAAATTTAATTATGTATTTTTGATTAAATATAGTTAATTTTAGTCATTTTTTCCTATAAATGGAAAATTTCCAAATAAAATTTAATAGAAAATTACTCCTAAACTATAAAAAAAAAAAGATAAACAAAACATAAATAAAAAAATTTATAATATTATTATATTTACCTGTATATATCTACTTCTAATCCATATTATTTATTTTCAAATAATTCAGGAGCCATAGTCAAACACGTGCCTAATATAGTGGTTGTAATACTTTCTCTTTAAAGACTTTTTGCGAACCCTAAATCGCCTATTTTCCAGACACCATTTTTAATAAATATATTCTAACATTTTAAGCTTTTTTTTTTTAAAAAAAAAAATTATTAATAATTAATTCTTAAAAAGCTAATATATATAATATAAATATACTCTCTGTGGACTACTCTGTATTAATGTAATCCTTTAAATCCGTTTAAGAGTTATTTAAAATAAGGCTTAGATACATTTTCAGGTAATCTTTTATTTGGCTAATTTCTCAAAAATTCATAAACATCACCATCTCCGCAATATTCAATAACAAGAAAATGAGATTATTAATCTTAGAAATAATCAACAAAACCTACTACATTCTCATTTTTAATTGCTTTCATCATATTTACTTCTGTTTAAAATAATTCATTTAGTTTAGGTTCTTTTAAGAATTCTTTTTTCATCATTTACTTTATTGCTACTTCTTCTTTTGTTTCAATATTTATTCCTAAATATACTTATCCAAAAGCACCTTTTCCTATCTACTTTTATATAAAATATTTGTTATTTAAAACTGATTCTATACTTAATGACATATTTTAAAAAAGTAATTGTTTTTTATTATTAAAAATATATTATGTTGAATTAAATAAAATAGAGAATTTTAATAATATTTAAAATTATTTAAATATATAATTTACATATTAATAATGATATAGATATATAAATAGAAAAATAATAATATATGTATATATATTTTATAAATATATATATTTATATATATAATTATTTTATATATATATATATTCTTTTTATATATAAATAATATATATTTATATTTATATTATAGATAATATAAAAAAATATATTTTTTTTTCAAGTTGTTGAAATTTATAACTTTTCTTAATATGGAGTCCGAGTTTTATTTTTTGACAAATACGCTAAAAATATCTTGTACATACTGAATCCTTAAGTTGAACTGCTAAATAGATTCATCTATATTATACTGCAAAAAACAGATAAGAACACTTACCACCTCGAGTTCTCTAGATAAATCTACTCATTTTCCCCTATTAAACTTTTGTTTAGAGCTAGAGGACAGTTAATTCAAGCAATGCCATGATTTATCTACTTTCAAAAAAAAAATTATAAGAAATCTTTTTTTTATAAGAAATATTTTATTTTTTTTATTATATTATCAAAAATAATTTTATATATTATTTTTTTATATTTTAAAATAATAATTAAATATATTTATTATTGAGATATATATATTTTTAATATTAATTTATTTTTATTTATTAATATTTTTAATTTAAGATGTTAAGAAAGTAAAAATGTATATATTATAATTTAATTTAATAAAAAATTAATCTATTATAATAGTTATTTTGATTATGTATTAAAATTTTTTTTTAATGGAAATATAAAAATTTATTTTTGTCATAACTCTTTTTTTTAAAAAAAAAAATTATAAATTTTAAAAATAAAACAGATTAAATAATTAAATTTTGGTTAAAAATATATATGTACTTTTGTAATAATATATAAATAAACTTTATAAAAAAATTTATATAAACAGAAAAACCTTAAATTATTTTACTTTTATCATTATTAAAAAAAATAAAAAATCATTAAAAATTAGGTTTTAATTCATAGTTGTTATAATAAAGTCAAAATAAGAATTGTTATATGATATTTAATATAAATAAATTATTAATTTGTTGAATTATAATGATATTTAATATAAATAAATTATAAATTTCGTTAAATTAGTAAAAAAAATAATATAACTTTATTAATTTTTTAAATATATATAATATATGATTATTTTTCATATTCCTAATGAAGCCATTAAAGCAGAAAATTATAAAAGTAAAACAAAAGAAAGTAAATTTTCGATTAGAAATATTAATTAGTTTTACTGATTTTTTTTTTTGACTACTTAATTTTCATTTTCATCTCGCAAATCATTTATATCAATTTCTGCTTTTCTTTTCTTATTAAATGCTTATTTTTTATTTATTAATATTTTGTTGTCCTCTATTTCCATTGCATATAAATTTTCTTTTTTAATTTTAGTATGTTTTACTTCTTCCTAAAAATTATTTTCTTCTTAATTTTTTTCTAATTCCATTTTTTATGATTCATTTATGTTTTAATGAAATCCTTATTCTAAGTTTTTAAATAAGATTTTATGTTCTTCCTCAAAAATGTTTTGTTTTTATTATTCTTTTTTTTCTTATTTTTATTCTATAGAATCTAATTATTATTTCTCTTATTCTATTAACTATTCAAATTCTTATGATTATTATTATTATTCGTTTAGATTATTTTATTTTTAATCAAATAAACTGAATTCTTATTAAATTAGTTGTTCATGTTAAAAATTTTCGTACTTAATATTTATTAAAGTATTTTTTTAATTATTAATTTATACACTACTTTCATCAAGTTAACTTTATTTTGTTAAATTCATATCCAAACTATTTAATCTACTATCATTATTAAATAAAATATTATTTTAAATATGAAAATTATTTTCTGATAAATGAAGTTAATTTTCTTCTATTTATTAATCCAAAGAGTTTTCTTGCTTTTATAGCTAAATATTATATTCTCCTTTTTATTTTTATTTTAAATGGGATAAATTCTATTCTTTTTATTTAAAAAAATAAGGTTATTTTATATATTAAATAAAATATTATTTTTTTAAAAAAAAAATAAAAAAAGAGGAAAATAAAATTAGTCAAATTTTTAAAATATTTATTTATTTATTTTTAAAAAAAATAAAAAACCTATTTCAGATTAATTTTTGTTAAAAACATATTTCTCTTATTATAATTAAAGTCTTTCTCTTTATTATTTTTTTTGTCCTTATTTTTCCTTCTAATAATCCTTTTAAAATAAATAATTTTTCGCGAAATAATTTTTTTCTTCATCAGCATCTCCAAAATGGCTTTCTTCCAAAATTTGATTTAAATTACATTTATTTAAATGCTAATTTTCATAAGAATTTTGCTTTGTTTCTTTAATATTTTCTAAATCTTATTAGGTAGATGTTTATTAAGAAAAAAAAATACGAGATTAAGTCTATTTTTATTAACATGAACTACATTCATAAGTTTCCTTCGCATCAAAAGAACTTGGATTTTACTATTATTTATCTTCTTATTTTGGTTATTTATATCCTTTTTTTATTAAATTATTTTTTTACAAATAATAATATTAATAAACCTTTTTTAACTTATCTTTTAGGAGTGTCATATTAAATTTGTACATTATTTTCGATATATTCTTAATTATAATAATGTTATTAAAACAGTTTTTGTTTAAGCTTTTTGAAGTATACTTTGTTACTTCTAGTTTCAATATAATTTGAAAAATCAACCTCATATTATGTGTCTGGCTATTCTTTTGTTTTAATAGAAGAAGATCTATGGACAAAATCTTATTAATTTATTAATTCTATTAGTCTTTATTAACTTTTTTTATTTATCAAATTAATAAATATTTATAAAAAAAAAACTCTTTTTATTATGCATAGTCATCTAAAAAGAAAAGAAATATTTATTGTAAATTTAAGTTTTCAATCTATAAATCATTCAATATTTAATCTAGGGCTTTTCCTTAAAAATAAGATGATTAGAATTTCAACTTTAAAATGTTTTTATTTTCATTATTTTGCATTTATATATATTCTCTTGCTTTTATTGTTTTTATTATTAATTCTTCTTCTTCTTTAGTTTACTCTAAAAAAATTATTTAATTAGTATTAACTCCTATTTATACTTCTTAATCATTTATTTTATTTAACTTTTCTATATGTCCGTAAAGTTTATTTATTATTTCAAATAAATCATTTACTGTGTCAACTTCAAATATTATTGAACGTTTATATGATTTTTTTATTTAATTATTCCAGTTTATTAAAATAGCTTTTTTCATACACATTACTTGTTTTATGTATGAAAACAATTTTTGGTATTTTTTAGATTTTATGTTTATTATGCTTAAAACAGGCATATTTCTTTTTTATTATTATTATTTTAATTTTATACTTTTTCCCTAAATAAAGAAATATATATAAATATACACAATAAAATTTGATTATTTAAAAAGTAACTTATATTATTTATATATATTATAATCACATTATTTTATTTGTTTTTATATTTTTTATTTATTTTTATTTAGTATAATATATTAATTAAAACATATTATATTATTAATTTATATAAAATAAATCTTTTTTTTAAAAAAAAATATATAAAAAAAAAAATATAAAAAAAAAAGGAAAAACAAAATGTAATCTCCAAAAATATAAAGTTCTGATATTGAAATAACAAAAGAAGATTAAGCTTAAATTAATTAATTCAGCAGATTATATATGCAATGGAATGATAAAAACAAACAAATGACAAAATTTAATGAAACCTTGTAATAATTAGATGATGCAAATACTGAATTAGAACTTTGTGATGATGAAGAAATAATTTAAGTGTAATATGGAGATTGTTTTTTTCATATAAAAACTAATTAAGCTAAGGAATACGTCGAATAATAATAATAGAAAATAAAGGTTTAAGCAGATAAATAATCGAATGTTATGAATGATTAAGATAAAAAAATGAAAAAATTAAAAGCTGTTCTATATGCAAAATTTGGTAACCAGATTAATTTAGAAGAAGATTGAAAAAAAATAAAATAAAAAATATTAAATATATTTTTTTTATTTATTTAAAAAAAAATATTTTTTGATATTTTTTTTCTTTTTTTTTTTAAAAAAAAAATAAATAAATAAATATTATAAATTATTTTTTGCATTCTTAAAAATAAAATCATTTAAAATTTAAATAAATATTATTTATTTAATTTAGAAAAATAAACTTTCACAATAATATATATTAATATGAAACGCTTTATAAAAAAAATCAATTTTAAAAAAAAAAAATATCAATATTTATTAAAAAAAAAAAAAAAAAAAAATACAAATACAAATACAAATACAAATGTAAATATAATAATAACACAACAATAAAGAAAATATAGAAAGAAAACTAGTAAATTTACTGTAATCCAACAAAGGAGTAGATCAAACATCTTTATTTAAAATCTTGAGTTAGGCATTAAATAAGATAACAAATGAGCCAAACAAATATACCAAAGACCTATAATTTTTCGAATTACTAACAAATTTTATAAAGAAAAACAATTACACTTACAAATTGCGTCAAACAGATAAAGAAGTAAATAATATATAGCAACTATTTGGTGAAAATCATGAATGGATAACTTAATGTAAATCTTTATTTAATGAATTTTTCGACATAAATTCGAATGTGAATAAAACGAAACTCTTATTTCCTGATTTCTATAATGAAAATTAAATGTTACAAATTGCAGGAATTAGTTTTGGCGAAGAAGAAGTGCAAAATATTTCAATGAGTTTACGAAAATTAGCATAATAAACGAATGCTTCACAAATCCGTTTTTGGGGAAAAATACTTACTTCAGGAAAGGATTATTATGTTGCAGAAGGAATCACTTCTAATTAAAATGCTGATGTCCTTCTTAAAGATGCTGAGCCTAAAGGTTATGGGGCTAATACATATACTTTTTGGGTTGCACATAATGGTAAAAAAGAAAATATTGTATATATTTATAATAATAAATAAATAAAACAGTTTTAGAAGAATGGTTCGAATTACCTCTCGTGATACCTGAACATGTGACATCTGCTAGAAAAATAAAATACATTTTCACAGGAGATTTGAATGCTAATGTAAAAACATATCCTCCATTTAATGGAAAAGAAAAGCATCTTTTAAAAGCCTAAATTGTAAGAATTTCTTGTGCTACAATTTTAACCCCAAAAGGACTTTATTAAGCAAGTGAGGTAGATCCAAATTAGATTGAATTTGTTGAAGATCCTTTTAAATTACCTGAATATTTAGAATTAAAAGAATTAGGTACTTGGTGTCATTTGCATCCTTTTTTAAATACTTAAGGAAGATAAACATATTATATAGACCCAAGCTTAAATGAAGAGTAAAAGGCAGCAGCAGAAGAAGAAGCATAAAAAGAAGAAAATGTATCCGAAAGACTAAAAGATATAGCTGAAGAAAAAAGTAAAATATGTTTAATGTTATTTTATTTATTTTTATTTTTTATAAATAAATATAAATATAATTTTTATTAATTAAAATCATTAAAAAGCCCCTTTTCCTTAAGAAGCTGAAAATGAAGAGACATAACTTAATTGGATTGTAAGAGAATGTGGAGATTCTTAATAATTCTCTACTGACGAGGCTACCTTATAATATTCTGTTATAGTTATTAAAAGTAAAACTTGGGTGGGACATTATACAATTTGTAATGTAATATTTTTGTTTTAATTTTTTGTTTTATTATCTATTACTTTATAAAGAATAAAAGGTGGACTAATATTTATATTGGATATGGTTTGAAAACTAATCAATAACCATTTGTTCCTATTTAACCTGAAGATATGTGTGCAGAAGTAGAAGATACTGATGAACAACCTGAAGTAAATACTAAATAAATTAATTAATATATATATTTTTTTTAATTTAAAATAAAAAAGCCAAATCACAAAGAACCTCCACCTAAAGAGGAAAATCCAGATGAAGCCGATTTACAAGAGTGAATAAAAATTATAAATAATATATTTATTTTTTATTTTTATATTTAATATTTGATATTTTTATATATTTTAATAAATATAAATTTTATTTCTATTTTAAAATTATATGATATTATGTATAATATTATATTTAATATTATCGTAATTGGGGATCTAGCTCAAATGGTAGAGCGCTCGTTTAGCATACGAGAGGCACTGGGATCAATGCCCAGGTTCTCCATTTTTTTTATAATAGAAATTATTATATATATTGTAAATAAATATAAAAGTATTATATAAAATTTATTTGTTTATTATTAAATATTTTATAAATAAGAATTTATTAATTTAGTAAAATAAATTTTAATCATAGACAAAAGTATAAAGATAAAATAAGGAATAACAAAAAAATATAATTTATATCCAAAAAAATAAAATAATAAAAATAGGATTTTTTTTATAAATTAATAGATTTCTAATTATATATTTAATGTATTAATTGATTTGTTATGATTTTATAATATAAAAAGAATCAATTATAAGTTCAAAAGTTTTAACTATCACTTGCATCTAAAAAATTTAGTTAAAAAATTTGATAAATATCATATTAAAAAAAACATACCACTAATAAAAGAAGAGTCTGTGTTAGTTTCTTAAATGATTTTTTAATTTTACAAATTTTTTATTTTATTATTGACATTATATTATTCATTTATGTTTTTCTGTAATTATTAATTACTTGATAAAACACTTTAACTAGGATAATTATAAAATATATTTTATTCTATTAATTTATTTTTTGTTTTAAAAAATAAAAATAATAATAATTTAAAAAAAAAAAAAAAACCTTAAACAATAACTGTATCTTAAATAGAATTATTATCCTCTTGTATAATATTTTTCTATTTAACACTTTATTTTTAATTAACTTTATTTGAATTCATTTTTTATTATATTTTAAGTTTTTTTTATTCACTAAAGCTAATTTTTAATTAACATATTACTACAAATCTCTATATTATTTAGGTTATAATGAATCAATATTAATTCTTAATTCTTATTTATTATATGCATTTTAATTATTATCACCTTAAACAATATCCCAAACTCCAGCAAAATATTCTGGAGGTAATTATAAAATCGCTTGACCCAATTTTTTTTTTCTTATAAACTCGATTATAAATAAGATTGGTTACCTCTATTATATTATTTTTTTCCATGTAGGCTTTAAAAATTATTTTTTCCCTCTTTTTTAATATTAATGCTATTAATTTCTCTTTTTAACATATCAACTTATTTATGTAAATTTTAAATTGTTTTCACAGGTTCAATATTGTAAACTTCGCTTGAAATTTATTCAAAAAACTAATCCATTATTAAAGTCATATTATATATTTATGAACCTTTCTTATTATACAAATAACTATTATGCCATATTTTACGAACATCTGAACAAAATTAAATCTATGATTTATAAATTTTTTACTTTATATTTTATTCTATTGTGTATAAATCAATTGGATCTGTTATTATTTAAAAATAATCTTAACAATTTTATGATATAGGATCTACAGGATATAAGAAAGGAGATGAACTCTAATGTTTTTTTAATTATTAAAGAATATTTTATAACTTTATTTATAGTCCTTGTATATTTGTATTTTAGTTTGAGATTATAGATGATTTTCTATTTTATCTTTTAATATCTCTTTAAGACTATTATTTTCTATATAATTAATTAACTTTAGAAGAATCGATATCGTGCTTGTCCTATTATTTAAATTTAAAATTTAAAAATAAAAAAAAATATATAGTAAAAAGATATAAATTAAAATAATAAATTTATATAAAAATATATATTAAATTTGAAAAAAAAAAAATATATAAAAATAAATAAAAATATATATATATATATATATTTATATATTTATATATTCATATTTTTATATATAATTTAACAATGAAATTTATATAATTAGCATATTTTATGAAGGTTTTTTTTAATTAAATTATCATATAATTAATAAACATTTTTATATTCATTTTATATTATTTTTGTCTATTAATTTTTATATACATTATATTTTTTAATATTTTTTTTTTATATATTTTTACATTTTATTTATTTATAATTTTTTATCTTATTGGCTTTTAAGCAAACTAGAATGAATATGATTTAGGCAGTAATTCATTTAAAACTTATTATTATTATTATGTTAAGTTAAATACTTGAAGAGACTGTATTTATAAATAATAAATTAATATATTAATAAAAAGTAATTATTTTTTATCAAAATTTTAAATTAAAATATAATATTTATTACTTTATTATTATTATTTTATTCCATTTATTAAAATAGATATATTAATATTCAAAAATAATCTATAAATTATGTTTTAAAAATAATACTTGTTTATTTTTTTTTGTTTCTTTTATCTTCTTTAATTAATTATTTATATAAAATAATAATAAAAGTAATTTAATTTAAAAATATATCTATTGCCTTTGAAATTTTAAATTTAACCTTTTCAAATTTAAAATTTGAAATTAAAAATAATATTATTATATAGAAAGATCATTGATAATAATTCAAATAAATAAATAATAAGTTATAATAAAGTATAAATTATTTTTATACTCAAATAAAATTATATTTACATAAAAAAATTCTATAAAATTAATTTTTTTTTTTATTATTATTTTATTATATTTATTTTTTTAAAATAATAAAATATAAATTAATAATTTAGTATAAGATAATTATTATTTAATTTTTTTTTAAAAACCAAAATATATTTATAAAGATTACCATTTGCTTATATATTTTTGCGGATTATTTTTGAAAAAAGCAATATATAAAAATCCATTATATATTTTTATATTCCTTTTTTATTATTTTGATTATAGGTTTATTTCTTTTTAAAAAAATTATAAAAAAAATTAAATTTTATTATTTTTTTTTTAAAAAAATAAATAAATAATAAAGGTTAATTTAAATTTTTTATTTTAATTAATAATTCGAAAATAAATTAAAATATAAAAATATTTTATTATAATAAAAAAAATATTATAAAAATCTAATTAAAGTTTATAGCACTTCTTCATCTTTTCCATATAATGTAATCTACTTTTTATGCTGATTCTGTCGAATTTAATAATTTATATATATATGCAAAAGTAATATTATAACAATAAAAAAAGCGAAATAACTAATACTGTTATAGGTTATATTTAAATTCCAACATATTATGTTTTTATATATGTTAAATTACTTTATCAATATAACTTCTATTATAAGTTTATTTGATTCATTTTTTAAATTAATTTATATTTAATTAAATTTAGTTTTATTTTATTTTAAATAATATAATAAAATGAGTGTGAACTTACTAACATTAACTTATATATTTTTGGACTTTTTTTATAATTTTATTTTTTATTTAAACAAAATGTTTAAATTGTATAATAGTGTATATAACTCTAATAAAATTATTGCGAATTTGTTTTAAATTTGGTATTTAAATATAAAAATAATAATTTTTTTATTATTATAATTCTTTAACCGCAGTTTTTTTAAATTCTTTTTTTATTTTTATTTTATTTTAAATTAATTTAATTATTTATTTTTGAAAAATAACTAATTATATAATATCATTAAAAATAAACTTTTTTATGCAAATATAATAATTTAAAAATTAAAACATTTTATATACTATAAAGATAATAAATTAGGATTATTGATATTGTACTTTAAATAAGTATAAAAGCGCTAAATAAATTCGAATTTCTTTTGTAAAAATTATCAAATAGACCATTATTGATTTTTTTAAAAAAGCCTTAATCATAAGAATATTTTTTTTAATTTAATATTAATAATATAATTTTTTTTTTTTACTATTATCATAAAAGACTTAATTCGGACCTGATTTTAGAAGCATTAAAATCTTTAATAAAACAAATAAAAAGGAGAATAAAATTGTTGCAAATAATAAATATAAAAATAAATTATAAATATAAAATAATATTAAACTTTTAATATTGCTTTTATTATTTATATATATTTAATAATTATTTTTATATAATATATGATTTTTTAACTAATATTAAGTTATGAAATTAACTTTTTATCTTTTTTTTTAAATTTAGAATATATATATTAATAAATACATAATATTTTCATTATTATACTTTGATTTGTCTTTAAAATTTACAATATTATTTTAATAAGCTTTTTTATATAATATTATTTTTTGAAATAAACATTTTATTATATAGTTAAATATACAAAATAATAAAAAGAAATACTTTTTGTAATAAAAAAATAAGAAAAAAAGTTATATTATTATTTTTGTTTCTATATAAAAAAAAAAAATATCTTAAAATTTTATTATTGGTTAAAATCAATTTAATTCACTTTTATTATTTTTAATTTTTATATATTTATATTTAAATTAAATTTTTTAAAATATTTTATAGTTATTGTTAATTTTTAAAATATATATCATATAACATTGAAATAATAAAAATATTTAATTTTATAAATGAAACATAATATAAATCTATAATTTTTTTTATATCAAACTATATTGTAAATAATTTATTTTAATATAATTTTATAAAAGTGTTATTTCGGTTTAAATAAATGTACAGTTTAAAACAAAAAATTTTTATATTATAACATAAAAAAAACTTTAATTTTTAATATTTTCTTTTTTAAGATAAATAAAAAAAAAAAAGATAACCTACTTAAAATATTTTATTATATAAATAAAATAAAATATAAAAATACTTAATACAAACATCTCAATAGGAAAATCAACCAAAAAGATCACCCATATCATAATCTTCTTCCGGTTCTTTTTCTTCAACTTTAGCTTTATTTATAATAAAATTAAAATAAAAATAAAAAACAAAAAAGTTAACGTTATTCTTTAGCAGCAGCCTTAGCAGCAGGAGCTTATGCAGCAGCAGCATGAACAGGAGCTTAACCAGCATTTTCAATTTATTTAAATTTATATCCAGTTTCAAGCCCAATAGCAGCAAGATTTTTAAAGGCATTAGCAATTAAATGAGGAACAGCAACATCAGTAACGTATCCACATTCTAATGATAAAGCGGCAATATTTTTAAGACCAGAAGAGAAATTGGCAAGAATTTAATCAGTTCCAATAGAAAGATTAGCTTCATTAAGTATATCTCCATTATCATAATCAAGATATACATTCATACCGTAGGAGAAAGGTTAGACATTCATTTTTTCAAGTAAAGCAACTTCAGAGTTTCCGATTTTTTACCTTTAACACATACATGAACTTCTTTAGTAATTTCGATTTAACCTTTTTAGATTTTTGTGGATATTTATAAAGCGTGGAAAAAGTTAATCTATGAAGGATCCATATTAGTAGGACCTGGAGGAATAAAGACGTCTTTTTAAGCAATAGTGCCAACTCTAGCAGGAGCAGGAACTATAAATGATTCGATTTTAGGCTTTAATACTGAAATAGATTCGTTGTGGAAAATATATCCAATCTTGTTCTTTAAATAGTTTCCTTCAAGTAATATTTTCAATTAAGGTTTTTCAGGTCCGAATTATCTGAACCAATCATAATTTTTCATCTTCTGGGAGGGGATTAGCTTTAAGTTATATGGCTTTTCTAATGACTGTCTATTTTTATTTTTTATTTAATTTTATATTAATTTTTGTTATTGTTGCAATATATATTTTATATGTTTAAATTTTTTACATTTTTTCCAATAACTAAAATGTTGTTTTATCCTAAAGACCTCTGATTTTTTAAAGTTATAATGCACCGACATTTTCTAAAGTGCTAAAAGCAATTTAGTCATATTTGGAAAGTAATTCATAAAATCTCCTAATAAAATCGTTTTTTTTAGATTTCTTGTCGATTTTAACGGGCGGCATTTATTGATTTTTTTAATTTGATTTAATATGTTTATTTTTAATAATAAATAGATATATTTAAACTCTTTTAAATTTAAATCTTTAAATATAAAAATTATTAATAATAAAAGTATATAAATATAATAATATAAATATATGAAAAGTAATATATAAATAAAATATTTATTATATATTTTATTTATTATATATTTTATTTACTATATATTTTATATTATTAAAGAATACTATTAAATATATTTTAAAAATTTAATATTAATGTATCTATATTTTAGCATATTATTAATTTTTTTAGGATTATATTTTTTTTACAAATAAGATATATTATTAATAACATTATTTTATTAAATATGGAATAAAAAATTGATAATAAATAACAAAAAATATTTCTTTTGGAATAATTATTAGAAAAAAATGAAAAACATGTCGATAGGTTAAAAATTTTAAATGAATAATTAAAAACTGTATATAAGTATATTTTTTTTTTCTCTTTGTTTATAATAAAATAATATAAATAATATTTGTTAATATGAATGAAATTTTTATTAAAAATAGTAATTAGAAATGGAATAAAAGAAAAATTTTTAGTAAAGATAAGAAAATATTGAATTATAATAATAAATTTAAAAATAGAAATAAAATTTTGAAGAATATGAATAAAAGTATATATAATAAAAATAAAAAATCTTAAACTTATAGAAATAAATAAAGTCTTAATTACTTGAATTTAGTTATAATAAAAGTAAATAAAATTCGAAAATTCCTCGCTAATTTAGTTCATTAATATGTATAGGAGATTATTTAAGCAATAACATGTACAAAACAATAAATACTTTTTAAAATACTAACAAAACAAGTACTATCACATCATTAAGTTAATAATCAGAAGATGGTATATAATAATCATCTATAATCAAATAAAAAATGACAGAATCTCTTAGATTTATAGAAGAATAAAGTAAGATTTATTTTTTTAAAAATCAATATAAAAAATAAAAATAGATGTAGATATCATAAAGGCTATAGGAAAATCAATTGTAGCGCGAAATTACGAAAGTGAATTTTAAGAAGAGTAAAATTCACCAAAATCTCCTTTATTAAATTTAAGCAAATAGTTAACTGCATTAAAAGAAGTATAAAAAAATTAATCTCTTTCTTTAATTTTGGAGAATCCTTAAATAGAAAATGAAAAATATGGATGCGATAGTCCTTCTAAAATATAGGAAGAAATTAAAAACACTAAATATTTTTAAAATTCAAATGGAAAAACAATAAAGCCATTAAATTCTTAATAAAATATTTAGCTATCATAAAATAAAATAATTTTTAATTAAAGAAAAAGTACTAGAAATTCCACAATAAAAGTCACAATGTAATAGATTGATGAAGGTTAATCAAATACACAAAAATAATAATATAAATAAAGTAGATTATCAATAAAATCAATTATTTTTAATACAAAAAAAAATATCAAAACTATATAAACTGAAGAAGATGATTAAACAAATTCAATAAATTCAATTAAATGTCCATAAGCATAAGATGATGTTTCCTAATAAATTGAGAAAATAAAAAATAATAATAATTAATGCCTTTTTGAATCTTTTTATGTATTAGGATTTGATAAGGCTGATATGAAAGAGTTTAATTTAAATACTGCTTCTTCCTAAGAAGTTTTTACTCCAGGAAAGATATTGTATTCTTTATCTGAAAATGAATAAAATGAATAAAATGAGTAAAATTAATGTTTATATTATGATATATTTTTTTTTTAAAAAAAAAAATAATTAAGTTAAACTTAAAAAATAATACATGAATTTGTATTTCCATTTAGATGTAAAGCTAAAAGATTAAAAATAAGTCATTCTTTTAGAAAAGTTAAATAGTATTTTTTGTTTATTTATTAATTATTATTTACTTTTAAAATTTAAGGATTTTATTTTCAGGAATAAAAACTGAACTATATGATAAGTTCTTTATGTTTACTATGAAAAATGATTAATATTATAATGTTCAATTAAATTAATAGAATAATGTTTTAGATGCTATAAATCCTCATAGATTATTATATTGTTTTTGTTTAAAAATCGAAGATTATATTGAATCAGTAATTTTAAACAAAATAAATTAAAAAAAATATTTAAAAAAGACTTAAAATGAAGAAGATTTTAATTTAGAAAATAAAAAAAATAGAATATTTTGGAAAGGTTATAAAGTTTATTGTTTTGTTACTTTTTATCCTTTTTATGAACTTTTTTAGGATATGTTACTTAGTCTTGTAAGTAATTTAATTTTTATTTACTTTAAATTATTTATTTATTATAAATTCTAATTTTTTTTTTTTTTTTTCAAGACCATATTAAAATACAAAGAATAAGTATATATTAAGATAAAAAAGAAACAGATAAAAAAATATTATACTAACTAGATGGTGACTTTATTATAAATACAATAGAACAAAATAAAAAAATATTATTACCTAAAAAATAAGAATGTCTAATAACTGGCTTTTAGTAAACACTGAATTTAAATACTGCATTTGATTAAATATCTTATTTTATTTAGCCAATATAAATAATAAATACAAAGACCCATAAATGGAGCTTGGTATTAACTTTATCAAATTTAAAGATGGGAGATTTGATGTTTATATTTAATGCTATTTTACATGAAAACACAGTAATATTTTTTAGCAAAAATAATTGTCTTTTAACTTAAACAATGTAAAATAATAAAACATTAAAATTAATAAAAATAAAATAAAATAAAAAAGACATACTTTTGAACAACTAATATATCCTTTATAATGGCCACATCCAATTATTTATTTAATTCCAGAATCTTTATTAACTTTATTAGACTCTCCAGTTCCTTTAATAATAGGATTAAATAGATCTAATATATATTTATAAGAAATAAATTTTTTCTAAAAATATCCGGATTATATTTTTGTGGATTTAGACTAATAGAATGTTATTGTTGGAGATTAAAAAATGTATAAAGATATCAAATTTAATATGCCTCATTTAAATAATCTTAAAAATAAAATCGAAAAGCTTTATTCCCAAATTAATTAAAATGGATTAAAAGAGACTAAAAACTTTTCCAAAATTAAATAATTAAATAATGAGAAATAAGATCTCTAGACTAAACTAAAGTTTATTTCAACTAAATCAGAAGATGATATTGCTGAAATAATATTGAATACATTTAACGAAAGTATTAGATAATGCTTTATTGATATAATACCTAATAAATAATAATATGTTTAAAATCAAGAATATTAAGTAAATATTTTTTTATAAATAATAAATAATAAAATATAATAGGAATTAGATTATTAAAAATTCAGTAAGAAAATAATAAATAATGCTTATAAAGAAGATAAAAAATTTTTATCTAAATTTGTAAATTCTTAAATTTTCACTTATTTTATTGAAAACTATTATAATGATGATTAATATAATTCATTTACATAAAAAAATAAAATATTTAGTTATTTATTAAAATATAATTTAGTTATATATTTAAATAAATTATAATAGTTATAATTATAAATGTAATTTTATATAAATTTTATTTTTAATTTATTGGAAATGATATAATTTATATTTTTTTAATATATATTTAAATAAATAAAAACATATTAGGATTATTTGTTATATTAAAATGATTATGAAAGAATATAATATATTTAAGGAATATAATTATAAATAAATAAATTTATTTTAAAAATATATGTATAATATAAAATTATATAAATTAATATATGGATGATAATATTTTTTAAATAAAAATTATTGTTTAAATTAGTTTAAATTTTAATAAGAATACATTTTCATATATTATATATATATTTTTAAAAATTTAAAAATTACTTTTATTTAAAATTTCTCATATAATTAATTATATAAAATAATAAATAATAATTAATAATAAAATTATAATATAGATAGTATAAAAATATTGTCAAAATCAAAATTATAATAATTTTTTATCATATAATAATAAATTCATATTATAAATAATCAGTATAAATAATTAAAAAATCTTAATTTATTGATATTTTTCATAATATATTGTAATTTAAAATATAATTATAATAAAATAAATGTTTTTAGAAACTATTTAACAAAAACATATTATTTATTTATTTATAAAAAATAGATTAAAGAGCAATATTTAAAAAAAAAATATTATAAAATTTTCTGAAACTTTTAATTTAGATAATTAAAAATTATAAAATAAATTTAACATATTTTAATAGTATAAATTATATAAATTTAAAAATATTTTTATTAAAATAAATTATATATTTAAATTATTTTTTAATAAGATATAAATATTTTAAAAAAATATTAAATGTAAATTTTATTTAAATAATCAATATAAAATAATAAAAATATATAATATTTTTATATGTTAAATCTATAAAAAAATAATAGAACAAATTAAATATAAAATATTAAATTCTCATATTTTTATTAAAACAAAATCATTTAAAAAAATTATTATAAATAAATAAAATATTAAAATTGCTTTATATTATATAAAATAAACACAGAATATAAATTTATTTATATTATTAAAATATAATTAACCATCATATATATATATATAAATAATTAAAAATTATGTTTAAATTATTATTAGAAAGTATTATCTATTAATTATATATTATAAGTAAAATTCATTTTTTATCCATTTATTTAATTAAGGCTTTTACAAATCTTCTAATATTAACATTCTCTTTTATAACTTTAATAGGCATCATATTAAGCATTTCTATAGTTTAGTTTAGCTTTAAATAAAAATAAATAAATTAATCATATCAAAAAATATTTATATTTACTTAAAGTCTCATATTATTAATAGAAGGGTTCCAAAATAAAATAAATGAGGTAAACATCATTAAGGCAAACAAGGCAACTAATAAACTTTGAATATTAATAGTAGATTCAATGCCATCAAATATAAGTTTAACTTCATACTCAAGTAAGTAATCAACTATATTCCTAAAATTAGAATACAAAGAATCTTATAATTCAATAAATTATTTACTAGATATAATTTAATACTTATCGATTTCATAGTATTTATTAAGATTTTCTTAGAAAACATTAAAATAATGTTAAATAACGTTATTAATACCCTAGTTACAACAAAATAAAATTAAAAATAAAATTTAAATATAATATTTATACTAATTTTAAATTTCCATCAATAATAGTTTCACATTAAGTTATTTCTGTTAAAAACTAACAACCATTACCATAAAAGACTAAAATATATTAATCTCTAAATTCAGGTAATTGATTTAATATTTCAAGATTAAACTAATTAAAAATATCATATTTAATTATTTAAAAAATAAAATAAATACTCTTCTTAATTTTCCTGTATTTCCTAATAAGTTTTTAAGATTATCAAAAGCTTAAGAAACAGCAAAAGATCCATTGACAGTGTAATTTTCATTAATTAACATTATTTTTTAAGTATTTAGATAATAAGAAAATAAGTTGGATAATTAATTATTTTAATGAAATTAAGGAAGTAAGAAAAGTATTTATCGTTTTTGATCAAAAATACTCCATATATTAACTATACTATAAATAAGAGTAACTATCAGTATTAAAATATATTTAATTATTAAAAATTAACTTCCTTGATATTTATTTTATTTATACTTATTAATAATTTTTTTTCTCTTCTTTTTTTGTTCTTCTTAACTTTCCTCGTTTTCATCATCGTTTTTGTCTTTTTTATTATTATTTTTCATTTCTTGTTCTATATATTGATCTTCGAGATCATCTTCTTCATCTTCTGAAGAATCTTATAATCCTTTATTTTAAACTTTTGACATAAGTTCTTTAATTGAAATATAAGAATCCAAGAACTTTTCACAATGCTTATATAAATAAAAGACATGTTTTTAAGGAATATCCAAAAAAAGGAAAAGTATGCTTTCTCTCTAAGATTTAATTATCAAAGTGAGAAAAATAAAGAAAAAAATAGCAAATAATGTAATAATAATAATTATTACAAGTGCAAGAATAAGTTCTATTTCAAGTTAGTTTATTTCATAAGAAACAAAAGAAAAAACGTGATCTAATTATTTGATTAAAACTTCATTTAATTAATTATAAAAATTAAATAAGATAGTATTTACGAATTCATTTTCTAAACTAATTTCTTCGGTTTTTATTTTACCTATTTTTTCACTTAAAGACGCAAAAACAATAATTGCGTTTTATAAATCAATATCTTTTTCTATATAAATGGCATTTTTGTATTTAAAAACACGCATTTTTATAGTTTTAATTTCAAAATCTTAAAAATATGAAAGATATTTTTCATTTCCTAATTCAGAGTTTATAGAATTTATATCATCAATTATTTTACCTATATCTTCCCGAATTTTTTATTCATTTTTTATATTTCTTAACTAAGGGTACATTTATAAATTTATCAAATCTATTATTTTTGATACTATTTCGTTTTCATCTACTAATCTATTATTTATTTTCTTTATTACTGGTAATGATAGTTAATATTATTTCATTCTATTATATGAAAATACATATTAAAATATTATTAATGCTATTATAAGTAATATCCATGTTAAGCTTGTTTTTTTAAATGCGATAACAGAACTATGCTTTATATATATTTTTTTTTAATTAACAAATATATAATATATAATATTGACATTTTTTATTTATTTATTTTATAAATTAAATATATACATTATGATTTGTACTTAATGCTTTTCTTATGATTTATATAGAATTAGTTTAGTTAAATATATGATAATCTTCAGCATCTTCATATTTATCTCCAATTTAATTAAAAAAAACGCTATTTTCTTGATCATCTTCAGAAATTACAGCCTCATCATCTTCTAAAATATTTACAATTCTATTATTAATTAATCTTTTAGTCCTTATTCCCATATCATATTAATTTAGGTTAACATAAATAACTTCTGATTATTAATCATCTGTTCTTAAATTATCACTATCTTCATGATTACTTTCCGATTTTTTATACATATTAATAACCATCTAAGTAATATGAGCAGGTGCTTAAATAATAAAATCATCAACACTTTGATTATTATTATTATTATTTATGGAATAATCCAATTAATCCTAAATAATTTATTTACCAAATAATTGCTTCTATTTTAAAGAATAACTAATGTTTAATGCATTAGGAGAACTATCGATTTGTTTATTTGTATTTTTAGGCCTTACAAGAGGAGTATTATTTTATTTTTGTGGATTTTCTTAAACCTTTTTCTAATGCAAATTTAAATAATTTATGTTATTAGTATTTTCTTTAGCTTCTTAAGTCGGCTTTTCTATTTTATCGAATTTAAAAGTGAAACCAATAATATCGTTTTTATGTATATTCTCTTCTATTTCTTCTTCTAAAAAATTAATACACAACCAGATTTAATATATAGTGCAGTTATAAACGACTTCTTTATGAGAGTTAGTTAAATATGTGAATTATTTACCATTTCTTTCTTTAAATTAATTCTATGTTTTCCAATCAGGAATTATACTTTCTATATCTATATTGTTTTTTTTAATCATTTAATAATCCATGTCAAAATTTAGAATAACAGATGTAGAAATATCAGTAATAATTCCTTATTGATCGGTTAATAAAAAGAATGTATTCTTAATGAATTTATCCACTTTGTAATTAACAATAAAAGTATAACCGTCTTCCAATAATAGATTTACTCTATAAAAAATAGGGAATATATATCCATTTTTATTTCTGCCGAATTTATATTAATCTATACCAATATAATTAGATTCGAATATTCCTAAAGTTATATTTTCGTAAAATCTTTAAAGTAAAGTTTCGTGAATTTACTAATATAAATTTGGAATTATCATTTATATTTTCTTGCCGATTAACTCTTCTTTTTAATATCCGAATAAAATACAAAAAAGAAGGTTTATGCTTTATATATAGCCATATTCTCCTTTTTTGTTTGTTATTACGGAATATGCTACAGGCTCACTTTTGTAATCTTCATTAATTCCTTCATTGTTTTTATCTTCATTTTATTCTTCTTATTATGATATTTATTTTGCTTTTTCAAGTAGTTATAAACCGTTTTCTTTATCATTTAGAACGTTTATTAAGAATTTTCCAAATACTTTTATAGTCTAAAATACTCGAGGATTTATTTTTTGAATATCATTGTAATGAGATCTAGCTTCATGAACTGTTTAACTAATTCTAGAACCTATTATATTCAATTTTGACAAAGCAGGATTTTCCTCTTTTAATTCAGCCCAAAACTCTTTATGCATCTGTGCAGAAATTTTCATATATTCTTCACATTATTAGAGATGGGAATCAAAGGCAATTAGTTTTACTATATCATTTTCTGAACTCTCGTTTTCTATTTAATCTAGGTTTTCATCCATAATTTTTTTATATCTGTATATAATAAATTACTAATCAAAAGAAGGTTTACTTGTTTCTGCAATTTTAAATTATTAATAAGATTTATCTCTCTTTTATTAATATTTTTTATTTTATTTTTTATTTTATTTTTTACTTTATTTTTCATTCGTTCCATTAAAAAGAAAGCATAAGATATTCTTAGACTTGTACAAGAAGGGAACTTTTTTAGTCCATTTTAATACATTCTATCGATTTCCTTTTTTTGGTTTTATAATGAAAAAATATATATTTAGTTTATTATTTACTTTTAATAAATTTAAACAAGTTTCTTCCATTTCGTTTTCTTAGACATTTTTTCTTTTTTATTTTTTTTATTTTAAAGGGCAATCTTCTTCTTGACAAATTTCCTTATGTTTTTCTACATATCCTATAAGTAACATATAAGCATTTTTATCTTTTTTTTAGTCACCAATAAGTTACAATATGTATCTTAAATGCCCTTAAATCTATTCGCCGCTTCTAAATTTCATTTAAGATCTGATAAGTGTATCTATTCTGCTTTTTTTTTCAGTAATCATGATAAGAACAATAAAAGGTAATCCAATAAGCCAAGATATAAGACCTCCATTAAAAGAAGTGCCGGATAATATTTAACTTAAAAGTAAATTAAAATTAGTCCATAAATAATAAGTAGTTACGACTTTATAGAATTTTCCAACTTCTTCATCATAATAAGGATCTCCCATATTATATACAGAATGTAGCCCAAGAGAAAGGAAAAATAACAATAGTACAAAAAACCAATCATTACCTTAAGTTAGGAATGAAAAAAGAATCTAACAAACAACTTTGTTTAATATAAATACAACCTCTCCTCTACTATTTTATCTAGCAGTTCTATTACCAGATGTCATTTTAGGCTCGAAATATGTCAAAGCAACTATTGTTGAAAAAGTCATAAATATTAAATTAAACATACTAGAAATTAATGCATGAACTAAATGCCAACCTTACCAACAAAGTACATCATCAGGAAATATTTAGAGTACCTGTTACCCATTTAAATCTTCGCATTGCACTATAGATATTAAAGTTTCAGTAATAGGTAAAAAAAATACTGTTACACATAAAGAAGCAACAGAACGTAAAACTGTTAGAGGCCACATCATAGAAAATTTTTTTTTTGAAAATGAATAAGACACATATATTATATCTACTATAATTAATAGTACGATAAAATTCAAAAAATATATAGAGCATAAATACATTGAATAGTTTATACGGGGCATATACTTCTGGATACTAAATAAATTAAAAAAATCAAAAACTATAGTTAAAAAGTCTGTTGCTTTCCAAATATGTGTTATCTTAACATAAAAAGGAAATGAATACATTTGTAAATAATCCATAGCAGTCGCAAAATATAAATTCTAATTTTTTTTAAATATTTTTTTTTTTAATAAAATTACTAAAATATTTTCTTCTCCTTCATCTTTTAACAAAATGAATAATACATTAAAAGATATTAATTTTAAATTTTATATATATTATTCAATTCCTTATTATTCTTTAAATAAATTATTTGAATTATTTTATTATTTATTTGCTTATACTTCATCCATTAATATAATTATAAAGTATAATGACTTTTAAAGTTTAAATATGAATATAAAAAGTTATTTAGATATTAATATATAAATATATATAAATATATATAAATATATATATATATATATATATGTATATATATATATATTATAGTTAATTTCAAAATTTGAATTTAATTTTATTTATAAAAAAATTATTTAACTATTTAGTTATATATCAATATTTTTATATAATTTGATTTTTTTGTTAATTTTATATATTTTAGCTTAAATAAATAAAAAAAATTGCATATACATAAATATTTTTTTTATTAAATTTTTTAGATAATATATTTTTTATTGTATTAATATTTTAAAATATCAATTATTTGCATTTATTAAAAAGTTAAATAATAATTAAAGTAATAGATTAAAAACATAAATATAAAATAATTTTTTTAAATATAAACAAATAATAAAAAAAAATTAAAAAAAAAATATGATAAAATTATTATTTCTTTTATTCTTAATAAAAATTATTTTTTCTGCTTATACAATAAAATAAATAACTTTAAACACAAAAATTAATTATTAAGCTTCTTTAGAATTTAACTCTTAAACTTTAAAAATAGGAACAAATTCATAATACTATAATAATCCCAGTTCCCCACATATCAAAAACATAAAATTTCAAATAAAAGCAGAGTCAAACACTTAAATTGACGTTCGTATGACTGACATAGATAATCCAAATAGATATACATTCCCAAAAATCAAACCTTTTGAAAACTTATATAGAGATTTAAAAGATGAAGATATACCTAAAATAGACAATGCTAATTTCATTATAGATGCTATATCATTAAAAAATTAGGAGTTTTAATTTAAAATAAAAAGAAAAGATACATCTGAAACAATTTTTAACAGCTAATAAAGCTTTGTTTTTTCAGATAAGTATTTAGAGTTTACCACTGTTCTGCCAAGCTAAAATCTTTTTGGAATAGGGGAGAGAAACAATCCCAATCTTAAAATAAAGGAAGGTATATATACTTTATTTGCAAGAGATGATGTAGGTATTATAGAAGATGGATAATAACCTCCAAAAAATGTATATAGTTCACATCCTATGTATTTAGTTAGAGAAAAATCAGGAAATTTCAATCTCGTATTTTTTAAAAACTCTTCTCCAATAGATATTAAAGTTGAAAAAAATTAAATCTAATTTAGAGCTGTTGGAGGAATTCTTCATTTCAAAATTTTTATGTGTGAAAAAAATGCTGAATAATGTATTTAATAATATCATAATTATTTAGGAGGAGGACATATTTTACCACCTTTTTGGTATATTTTTATTCAATTATTTATTTATTTTTTATTTAAAAAGGGCTTTTGGGTTTCATTAATCAAGATGGGGATACTCTACTAGTGATAAATTGATATAAGTAATAAAATAATATAGAAGACATGGCATTCCATTGGATTGTAAAATTAAAATATTAAGATATTTTTATTAAAATTAAATAAAACAAAACAAAAATAGCAATTTGGTCAGATATTGATTTTATGATAAATAAATAGACTTTTTCAGTTAATTTTCATTTATTTTCAAAAGAGTTTTTCTAAAATTTCCATGAAAAATATAATATTAATTATATTCCAATAGTAGATGTTGCTGTAGGTGTACATCCTTTTGCAGGAGATAATGCATTAAAAAAAGGAATTGAAATGGATATTTTTTGTAAATCTCCTTAAACAGGAAAATACTTTAAAGGATATGTATGGCCTGGCGATTCTTATTTCCCTGATTTTTTACATCCAAATAGTTCTGTATATTGGTAACAAATGATGGAAGAACTACATTCAAAAGTTAATTTTAGTGGAATTTGGATAGATATGAATGAACCAGCTAACTTTTGTAATGGAGAATGTACATGGATAGATTTTAATTAACAATAAAGTAATAAAGTAATATATATTAAATAAAATTTAATTAAAATAAAAATAGATGATCCAGAATATATAAATTAAAAATATGAAATTCCTTACTAAATAGGAGGTTATAATTATGATTTGAATTTGAAAACATTACGTATATAAAAAAAAAATATATATGAATTTAATTATAAATATAAATAATTTATATATATAATAATAGAAAATAATTATATATATTAAATATTTATATATTTATATATTATATATTTATATATTTATTTTTATGTATATATAAACATTTATTTATTTATTTAAAAATAATATTAAAGCATATCATTTATTACATTATGGTAAATATGAACATAAAGATGTTCATAATATATATGGACTTTTAGATAATCATCATACATATAATACATTGATAGCTGATAAAATAAAAAAGATTTATCCTTTTATATTGACAAGAAGTTCTTTTCCAGGAAGTGGTAAATATGCATTTAAATGGACTGGAGATAATTTATCTGATTGGAATTTTTTACGTATATCTATAGTAAGTATTGTAAATTTAGGCTTATATGGAATGCCATTCGCTGGTGCTGATGTATGCGGTTTTATGGGAAATACATAAAAAGAATTATGTTAAAGATGGATCTAATTGTCTAGTTTGTAACCTTTTATGAGGAATCATAACCATGATTAGGCTAAAGAATAAGAGTTTTATAATTTAGGATAATAAGTAGAAAATACAGCAATTAAAAATTTGAAACTTCGTTATTAAATTTTGAAACATTATTTTATGCTTTTTGTTAAAACAAATCATGTTGGTACTGTTTATAGACCTCTTTTCTTTGAATTTCCGGATGATCCTTATTGCTATAAAGACTAAATACTTAATTATTAATTCATGCTTGGTAAAGAACTTTTATCAACTCCTGTTTTGTTCGAAAATACTTAAGAAGTATAAGCTTATTTCCCTTAAGGATAATGGTATTAATTAATATATTTTTTTATTTTTTTATTTTTTAAAGGTTTGATTTCTATACTGGAAATAAAATTACCAAAGATAGATAAACTGGATAATTTGTTACAATTATTAATGGACTTGAAGATTTTGTCCCTTTGTTTGTTAGAGAAGGATCTTTAATAGGGATATAAAGCTCTCATAATGTATAAACAGTAAAAGATTTAGATAATAAATTCAAACTTATTTGTGCTTTGTCTTAAACATCGGAAAAGAATAAATATTAATGTGAAGGAAATTTATTAAACTTATAGAACTTTAATGATGAGATTGAAATAAGGGATTCTTGTGATAAGTAATTTAACCCTAATTCTAATTGTATAATTGATATAAAAGTTATAGTAAACACTTAAGATAAATCTATTAATTTTAGTAGTTATATTGAAAATAATTAATTAAAATCAATAATAATAAATTCTATTTCTATATATGATTTCCCTGATAAAATATTAGATAATACTGATAATGAAAATGTTTTATTTTCTGAATATAATTATAGCTATAATATCAATTTAATATTTAAAAAAGTTATTAATTTATCATAGTCGAATAAAATTTTGATAAATTACTGAAAATATAAAATAATTTAAAAAATTATTATCCGTTTTTATGTTTTTATTTATTATTATTTTTTTATAAAAAAATGATTATTAATTTGACGAATAATTTTAATGTTTTTTTTTTTTTTTTTTTAAAAAAAAATATTTATAAATTTTATTGTTAAAAAAAAAAAAAAAATTCATTTATATATTTTCATGATTAACACTGAAAATAAATAAATACACATAGAACATAAATAATAAAAAAAATATATTTATAATTAAATATTTCATTTAATTTATTTTATTTTACATTAAATATAATATCTAACTTCTTTTCTTTCAAACTTTTTTTTAAGGACAGCTTTTCTAATTTTAACCTTCATCAATATTTTCGATAATTCCTCCATCTTCGCTTTCACTATCACTACTTTATAATTTGATTTGACATTCATTATCTTAATTTTTATCAGTTTATTATTCATTTTAGTATTTATTATTAAGGCTATTATTTTTGCTATGTTGATTTTAGCTTTAGTTACTTTGTATTTCATTATCTAATTTGGCCTTATTTTTTAATTTTAGCCTTTAAATTGCCTCATTATATTTTTAGTTTTAAACTAGGCTTTTTTTCAATTGCTATTCATTCGAAGTTTATTATTTTTATTCTTCTGGTATTTCACTTTTAGACCCTAATTTAACCCATTTATTTTTTTAATCATTTTTGAACTCATTTTTCTTTGATAAAGAATTTATATTTAATTGAATTATTTATGGGTTCATTATTTGTATGGTTTTATTGGAATTAGTTAGTGATAAATTTTCCTCTTTTATATAATTTTATTAATTTGTTTTTGATACACTAGAACTTTTTTATCTATATGTTATAAATTAATGGTTTAATAATTAGCGTACATTATATCGTTCCAAAGGGTTTATTTTTAAACACTTTTAAATAAAATCTTTGCAATCATCTGATAAAAAAGCAGGAATTTCCGGAGGATCTTTAGAACTGGCTATACAAAACATTGCTTAATATGGTGATTTTTCATTCCATGGAGGCTTCTATGTTGCCATTTCTATTATAGTACATCCTAAACTCCATATATCTGCAAATCGTCCTGATCCTTATTGTTTAATTGTTTCTGGAGCCATCCAATATGGAGTACCTCGAATAGAATTATTATAAGTTTTTTCTTCTATTATTTTCTTTGCACTTCCAAAATCTATTTTTTTGTTTATTTATTTTTATTTTCTATTTTTATTACCTGCTAATTTACAAATCCCATTTTCATCTACAAGTACATTAGCTCCTTTTATATCTCTATGTATTATTTCATGTACATGTAAATATTCTAATCCAAAAAGTATTTATTCGGTAAATTTTCGAATTAATGTTTCATTAAATTTACCGTATTTACATAATAATTGGGATATTGAACCGCCTAACTTGCAGAAAAAATTATAAAATTAATTGATTTATTAAAAATTTATTATTTATTTACCTGGTACATATTCTAAAAATATACATATTTAATTATCTTTTTCATTTACACCTAAATATCTAACTATATTTTAATGCCTAAGCTTTTTCAAATTCTCTATTTCGCATTTAATTTGATTTATTTTCTATTTATCAAAGATATAATTTTTTTAATAAATGGGGAAATTTTGTTATATATATATATATATTTTTTTTTTTGAAAATATAAAATTTTAGTGTTTAATAATTATATAATTATAAATTTTATAATTTGTAATATATATTATTAATTTTGTAAAATTACATCTATTTTGTCCTATATATTATTTTCATTAAAGCTTATTTCTTTTACAGCCATTATTTCTCCAGTATCTTAGTTCATAGCCTAAAACACTTATCCAAAGGAGCCAGATCCAAGAAAAATATCATTGATTTCTCCTTTGTTCCATCTAATTAAAAAAAACAATTTTAAATTGATAAAAATAAAATATTTTTTAAGAATTTATTTATTAATATATAAAAAAATAAAGTAATCACTAATATATATTTTAAAGAAAAGTATGATAAAATATTCAATTTCGTTTGAATTTTTTTATTAAAATAATATAAATCAAAATCACATTTTTAAAAAATAAATAAATAAAGAAAAAAAAAAAAAGAAAAAAAAACCTAATTTTCTACTATTCTAGTTTTTCTAATTTTTGGCACTTATAATTATTTTAATAATAAAGATTATCATTTTAACTAAAATATTTATCATTATTATTTTATAAATTAAGACTAAACTTTTTTTTATTTTTTTTCAAAAATATTAGAAAAAAAAAAAAAAAAAAAAAAAAAAAAAATTTTTTTTTTTTTTTTTTATACTGTTTGAGAATAGTATATATTTTTTGCATCTTATTAATTTTCTTAATATTAAGAATATTGGCTATATGAATATTCACTATCTTATATAGACTAATTGTTTTCTTAATTTTAATAATTATCTTATTTATTTTATTAATTAAATTTATATAGTGTGCTTTTCTTTTCTTCTATTGCTTTTTGATTAGCCTTTTTAATCAAATATTTCATATTTATCTATTTTAGATATAAATATAATGATTACTTTGTCAATAATCTCGTTTACTTCGGCTTTATTAGCAATACCATTTTCTAAATCTTTTTTACAAGATTCAATAATATTTCCCATGTTTTAATTTATAATTAATATATTTTTTAATTATAAATATATATATATATATATATGTAAAATATTAAAATAATTAAGAAAAATATAAAAAGAGAAATTAATTTTATATTTTTTTATTTCTTTTATTGTTTTTTCTATTAAAAAAAAAGAATAAAACTTATAATGTTAATTATATATTTAAAATAATTCATAAACTAACATTTAAAATTTTATTTTAGTTATATATTATACTTAAACAAATTTAAATATTGTATTTTCTTATGAATTTAAAATTAAAAGCTTTAATTTAATTATTTAAGAATATTTTTTTAATTTAAAAAAAAAATATTTTAATTTAAAAATAAAAAAACCAAATATTATATAATTTTGGTTTATTAATAATATTTTTAATAAATATATTAAAATGTATTAACAAAATATAAAAAAATATACAATATATATGAAGAAAATTTAATTAAAATTATTTAACAGATATATAAAATTAAAAACAAAGATATATAAATATATAATATAATATTAATATTAACAATTTATTTTATTATGATATTAATAAAAATAAAAAAAAAATTAATTATTTATATTATTATAAATAATTTCTTTTGGTCAAAAAGTAAAATAATTATATAATAATAATTTAAATTTATATAATATATTTAACAAATAAAAAATTATAATTCTTAAAAATCAAATTATATATAAATATAATATTCAATATTTTTTAAAAAATATAATATTCATCTAAAATATTGTATTTTTATAACTATGTTTTTAATAAAATAAACCAATAATATATATTCTAATTCTATTACGGTTTTAAATATTTTCTATTTTAGATCCTTTTGATTATAAAAATTAATATTAATTTTTCTATTAATTCTTAATATAATTAATATATTATATATGATATAAATTCTATAATTTTTATACTATATATACTAGCTATACTTTTTATATTTTGAATATTTTATACTAGATTTTTTGACTAAAGTTAAGAATTAAATTGAATATTAACTAAGAATACTATTAAAATTTTACATTTTAATTAAATATTAAATCTTTAAATTTGATTATAAATATTTTTTTTTAATATATTTATATAAAAAATATTCATTTTTTTTCAAAAAATAATAATAATAATATATAAAATAATAAAAATCAATGGTAAAAATAATTTTTTTTTTTAAAAAAAATTATTTTAAATAAATATAATATTTTTTTAAAAAATATTAGAAAATTTATAAATTGATATAAAATCTGAAAAGTCCAAAATTAAAAATAGTCTATAAAAATTCTCAAAAAAAATAAAATAATCTTTAATAATATAAACAACATTCAAATAACACCAAACTCAATAAAATCGAAAAATTTAAAACAACTTTAACTTAAGCCCCAAATATAGCTTAAACCCATATCTCTAAATCTGAAAACAACCAAAATTGATATCTAACAACAATTCTCAATCTGATCTTAAACCCTTCCCAACACCTTAAACTATCAGTATGTTTAAATTTGAAAATGTTAATTTAATTATCATAATATAGTATTACTTCAATATTATTATAAACTTAAACTTATTTATTTTTTAATCTAACTTCGTTATTTCTATATTGATAGATTTTTTTTAAAAATTCAATTTAAAGGAAAAAGTAAATAAACTATTTAATTAAATTTATTAGATTTGCTTAATAAGTTTTTTTTTTTTTAATAAAAAAATAGTATTTAATATCATTTAATATAAACCAGTTAAAATTTATTTTTGATTATATTGAATATTAAATAGTAATTATGAAAAATTAAATTTATAATTATTCATTTATTTTAGTATTTCGGTTTTTTAGAGTTAACTTTACACTTTTATTTAGTTATTTTAAGTATATTTTAATTATTTTTATATTATTTCTTTATAAAAAATAACCATTTTTTCATTTAATTATAGACTATCTTAAGATTTAGAATTTTAATTAAAATAGTATTATTTTTTTAAATAATAAATTAAATATATTAATTATAAAAAGAATTAAAATATAAATAATTTATTTATTAAATAACTTATTTATAACTCTTTTTAAGTATATTTATTAAAAATAATTCATATATATTAATAAATAAATCATGTTAAAGATTGAATTTAACATACATATAAAATAAAATATTGATTTAATGGAAAATTAGAAAATAAATAAGCATTATCACATAAAAGTTTAATATTTTTATTTTATATATTTATTAAAAATAAGTAAAAGAAATAATATAAAATATATATATATTTATTATATTTTTAATTAATATATATATTTATTTTTTATATTTGTTTAATAAAAATAAAAATATTAATATATTAATTTAATCAATTTTAATTAAAAAATAATCATTTAAAAATACTTTATATTAAGTATTTTTTTAAAAATATATTAAAATTTTGGATTACAATTATTATCTTTTTGAAAATAATTATATTATTTTTAAAATCATTTTATTATGTTGCAAATATCTAAATTTTTTATTTATTTTTTCATTCAATGACATTACAAATATATATAAAATAAGTACTATAAGGCAATATTTATAAATAATTAATTATTTTTATAAGAAAAATAAAATATTAAATTCTTTTAGAATAAAAATAAAATAATAATAAGCATAACACTAAAATATATGACAAGCAGACCAGCTTAAAGTATAAAATCCTAAAATCCATTTAGTGATGATGAAGATGATGATGATTTTATTGATGAAGTTTCTACTTAAAATGTTAAAGTAGAAATAAAAGCAAGTAATAAAAAATAAAAAATATAGATATAAAAATATCATTAGTAAAGCCATACGAAGATTACTTTGAGAAATTTAACTAGTTTTATAATTAATATATAGAAAAGACTAAAAATTTTGAACAATAGCACTAAATATAAATCGGTGAGTGTTCATTTGATATTTTAAATATAGTTTTTTATGTATAATAAAATATTTTAATAATAAATGAAAAAAATATAAATATTTTTTATATTTTTTTTAAAAAAAAAGCCTACTACCACAAAACAAGCATTATTTGATATAAATGATACTCCATGTAAATTATATGATAAAATATCATCTACATTTACTTTTTTGGATACTGAAATAAGTAAAATATGTGAGACTTTCGAGAATAGAATATACTCAGCAATATGTATGTATGGAGAAAGACCAATAAAATAAGATCAAAAAGAAGATGAAGATAAAGAACAATTAAACGAAGGATAAGCAGAGTATGAAATATCAAGAATATTTTCTGTTTTAAAGTAATGTTTAGATTTAGTAAAAAGAATAATGTCTTTATTGTTTAATATAATAAACTAATTAAATGTAATTTATTATAAAAAATAAGATATTTATAAGACAATATTCAAAAATGTGAATTTATTTTCAGTGCTTAGATCTATAGGAAAGGGTTTATCAGCAATACATACATTAGATTGTTGTGTAAATTAGAATTAGAAATTACAAGAACATTGGAATTTTTATAAAAGAATGGTTAAAATAGTTTCGACAGAACCATTAAAATATGGAACAGGCATTAGAAATTTTAAAAAATTCGAGAAAATAATAGCGAGATTAGACAAGACTATTTTAAGTGGAAATTGTGTATAGGAAGTTTTAAAATTGAACTATGAAAATAACGTAACGAAATCTTCAGATAAATTAAAATAAGAAAATGAGACTCTTTTAGTCAATAATAAAGATTTAATTGAACTTTTTGAGCTTTATATTAAATAGGAAATCTAGAATTATACTGATATTATAGAATCTCCTACTGAAATTTTAGAAAGAAAAGAGTTTTATTATTTTATTAATACTTATGCTTTTTTTAGATATATTTTTCCTAAAAGAGAAGACAAAAAACCCTTTAGATTGATATGGAGTTTGTAAAAAAAATGCCCAATAATAGAGGCTTATTCTCATGTATATTGTTATGTATATAAGTTTTTATCTGATGTGTGTCCTTTATCAAAAAAACATTCTTTAGATCCAGCTGAACCTGATACTTTTTTAAAAAGATATGTAGCAGAACAAGACGATTTAATAGGAAGTAAAATTAATTATTTTTATACTGAATTTTCCATATGGATTTCTAGAATGGAATCTATTCTTACCTCTAATATAACTCTAGCAAACAATAATGGGGATAAATCTAAAAGAATGGCTATTATAGATGAATATATAAGCTATAGAACCAAATTACTTATAAAAGCCTTACTTTTATGTTCCTAATTAAAGAATATGATTTCTACTAATCTTATTTTGCATATTAATGAGTCAATTCCTATGGATCCTGATATTTTTAAGCATTTATTATAAGGAATAATAATCTAAAAAGCAGTCCTTTAAATTTTTGAGAATAAAAAAGAGGCCTTTTAGCCTTTTATTATGATAAAACATTTAACAAAATCAATAGTAGTATAAATGATGAATATTCTTGAAAAACTATAAAAAATAGACTCAAAAAATAAAAAGCCAGCCTATAGTGAATTTATAGCTGCTATTATAAATATTTTATAAAATCTAAAAAATGGTCCTATTACTGCATTAAAAATATCCACAATTGATTTTTCTTTAAATTTTGTGCTTTCTTCATATATTATAGATAAAACTGAATCTGCAAATCTAAAACATACGTTTTGGAAAATAAAAACACTTTCATAAATTGAATATTTACTTTAAAAAATTACTAATTCTTCTTTTCTTTATTAATGTAGAGATGTTATTCCTTTTCTATTTAAAGAATTCTATAGTAACTCATTATTAGCTTCGAAATTTCCTTATTTTTCTAATGCTCTAAATGATACTGTTCCTTTATTAAAATCTGTTCTTCATTTAGAAAGTTAGTAAGAATTATATCAATCGTTCAAAGAAAGTGTCCTTTAGGTTTTTAATAAAGAATACATACTTCCTACAACTCGACAAATAGAAGATTTTTTAAGAATAAATATACATGTAATGCTAATAGAAAAAGTATAGGGCAAAAATCCATTCAAAGATAACCTAAAGAATATATCCTAATTATTAAATGTGAAAAACGTGTAATTATTTGACTGTATTATTGACATTTAAAAGGAAATAATGGAAAATTTGAACGACAAATTTTACAATATGAACGCCATAAACATGCATGATTAAGAAACCTATGAAGAGTTTAGAATTTTGGGAAATTAAGTTTTCGATTTGAATCTTATGAATGTCTATATCCCTAGTTAAACCCTAGAATAAGGATAATTAGATATATTAAACATTTTAAGAAATATTCCTTAGTTTATTGATACTTATGCATATAATTTACATAATTAATCATTTACTGAAATTACGACTTTAGAATCAAAATAGGTTACAACAGTAGGAATTTAGCAAATTTCTGATTCTATAAGGACACATGGACTAGGAATTTTAAATACTACAGTTAATTGTTTTTATGTATATTTAAAATCTAAGATTAAGCTTTTTTCAGATTATTTAAGACAAGAAACTATCTATTAAACTCTTATTAGAGAAGATAAATGGTTCTTTGAATTCAAAGGATAACATGATAACAAATATATTTACGAAAGGGCAGAGAAGTTATAAAAAGTAATAAAAAAATTGGGAAATTTTGACGACGGAAAGAATTATTTAGATTAATTTAGAGTACTTTTGACTTAAATAGGAAATGCACTTGGCCTTGTTAGATTAATTAAATCTGCTAGTTTAAATTATTGCTCTAAATGTATCGAATTTCTTCCTTCTTAAATTTGTGAGGAATAAACATTCGCTAATATGGCATTAGGAGCTTTAAGTGGAGAAGCAACCTTTAATGCAGGTTAGGAATTAGATAAGATTATTAGTTAGTTAAGAAATAACTTTTCTTCAAAAACTGATTATCTTAAAAAAATAGTGTTATAATTTTCTATTTTAAGCTAAAATGAAGCCTTTTAACATTTTAAATATTTATATTATCTTGTACCTACACTTTCTTTGAATTATGTTAATCATGTTTTAATAGGAAAAGATAAGATTTCTTAAAGATATAATACTTAGGCTTTTATTAATGTAATTTTTTGTTTTGTTTTGTTTTGCTTTTTGTTTTGTTTTGTTTTGTTTTTTTTCAACAATTTTAAAAAAATAAAATAACATTATATAATTAATTAATAAGGACGATGGATTTATTATTGGATTAGAATTTATGCTTAAGCTTTTTGGAGTAGAAGAACTTTTTAAAGGTTTACATTGGTAAGACGTTTTAAATGAAAGATTTAATGAGCAATTAAAAAATATTTAAGAATTATCTAATTAAAGTAGAGATAAAGATAAATAAATATCGACTAGAAAACTAGAAGAAGTATTTTTTATTTAATTTTTGTTTTGTTTAAATTATTAAATTAAAAGATGGATATGTAACGTGATTTATCTAAAAGAAATTTAATAAGTTAATAAAATGAATTCTAATTGTTTTTTAATGCTTTATAAGCATGTAAAGTTTTATTTAAAGATGATATTATTTGAAAAGATATATTTTATTTTATTTTATTTATTTATTTTTTTAAAAAAAAATTAAATAGTATAAATTATATTTATTTTTATATAAATCATATAAAATATTCATTTTTTATTAATTTTATTCAAATAAATTAGTTTATAAAAAATTATATACATTACAAATCTTTTATTTTTTAGGTTTATACACTTTGCAAACTCATAAGTCAATCTTTTTATATTTTATATAATATATAAGACATTTTAACTTAATTTTTAAATAAATAGTAAAAAATTTCAAAATTTAACCCTAAAATAACGACTATAATAGAGCCAATATTAGTATTATTGTCATCTTAGAATTTTTCATATGCCTTTTGAAAAGATATTTTAATTTTTATTTATTTTTTAATATTTTTTTATTTTTTAAAAAAAAACAAAAAATTCAATTAACAAAAAAAATGGATAAATAAGTTTCTTTTTTTAAAAAAAAATCATAATAAATAATTATACTTAACAAAAAATAACAAATAAAGAAATTTTTTTTTTTTCAACTTTCAATTTATTATCAAAAAAAAAAACATTTAGAACAGAATTAATATAAAAATTTAGATCCGAATATAGAGAACTAATTGTAAAAAGATTATTCCAAATTTTATCATTATTAAAAAAAAAACAGAGATTAATGCATATAAAATATTAGATATTCTCATTATAATTGAAATCTCTTCGAAAATATAAGAGAACCTAATCTAAGTTAGCATTTTTTTAGAATTGTGTTATATTTGGTTGGTATTCTTTAGTATTTTTATTTACAATCTTTTTATAACTTCATTTTTTTTTCTTTTTATTCCGTATTTCTCTAGCAAATTTAATAACTTTAATTTAGTATATTAAAAGTTTTTTATTGGAAAAAAACAAAAAAAATTATAATATAACTAAGCAATTTTCATATTATACTATTTTATTAGAAATCCCGTTCTAAATAAAAGAATTAATTATTAATTTTGATTCCACATATAACACTTATAAATATTATCTTATTTTCCATATTTATAATCAATTTTTTAAATTAAAAAGAAGCATCTCTTTGTAAAATGATATAATATTTGAATAAAAAACCATAGTTGAATTTTAATTATAAAAGTGTGTAACAAATCATTTCGAAATAAACAATCATTACGACTTTCTCCATATATATATATATATATATATTTATAATATATATATATATATATATATATATATATATACTGAAGTTATTGTCTATGATTATGATTTTTTGACTTTCCTTTATTTCATTAAATTGGAATACTTGAATTTTTAAATTTAGAGTAATTTATTATTATTTCCCTTTCACTAAAGGTTTATATGTTAAATTATAATAAATAAATAAAAATAATAAATATATTTTTTTTAATAAAAAAAAAAAATATAGTTTTTGTTTTTTAAGACTTAATTTTTTAGTTTTAAAATAAAGAGATTATATTACATAAATTACTATTACTATATATTTTTGAAAATATTTTTACGGATTAAAAATCTTTTTAGTTTATATTAATTAACTCTGATTATATATCCATAATCAAATTTAATTAAAATCAATTATATCTATTAATTTCATAATAATACATATATAATTAGTTTTATATCTTATCTTTATTATATCTAATTTTGTTTATATTTTAAATGAAAATTGTTTAAATTTATTAAAATCACCATATTAACATTATTCACCATTTATAATAAAATATAAGAAAAATATATTCATTTAAATTATATATATAGCCCTAATAATTCATTCCATGTTTTTAAAATAAAAAGTAGAAAATATCCTTTTTCTCAATAATAAATTGATCTTTCGTAAATTATTTTGACTCTATAATCAGTTTTCATAGATTAACTTATTATGAATAATAATAGTTTTTCGTGAAGTTAATTAATGTTGAAATCATGATTTTATATTTATAATAGTATTTTAATATATATAATTTTTTATATTTTATTTTTTAATAACATTAATTAACATATATTTATTAATATTTAACAAATTTAGGACATTATTTGTTTATCTAAAAACATTAATTTTAATTTAGATAAGATCCTTATATATAAATGGAATATCAGAAAAGTATTTTATTTATTACTTTTTAAAATTAATTTTAAAAGCATTCTAAAAAAAATTATTAATTTTTAGAAAATATACATTTATTTTCAAGATGTTAAAGAAGAATAAAGTAAATATATATATATAAATATATATATATATATATATATATATATACATATATATATCTATTTTGACTTTCTTGATTGAGGGAAATAAATTAATATTGTATTTACTTTTTTCTATATGATATTTATCAAAATAAATTTGTTAATCTGTACATTATTCTAGTACAAAATAAAAATTAGTGTTTTTGTCGATTAAAATTACCTTAAAATCTTGTCTTTTATAATTAAAAATACTTATTAAATGAATTTCATTATAATAATATCATTATAAAAGAAGTTTTATATATTAAAAGATTAAATTATTATTGTAAATATAAACTATTATAAATTAATGAAAACTTGTAATATTATAATTATTATATAAGGGAATTAGAAATAAATATCATTTAAATTCTAATATAATTATTTATGTCATTTAATAAGTAAACTTTTATAGATTTTTAAATTCAAATATTTTACTAATATATATATATATAATTAGAGTTTATAATTATTATTAAAAGAAAATATTATATTTATATAAAAAATATTTTTTAATATATTATTTATTTAAATATATTTTTTTTTAATCTTTAATAATATATAATTTTAATCTTTTCTAAATTATGACGAATTATTTTTAATATCAATTTATTTTATTATAACATATTTTAAATAATCATATTTATTTATCAAATAATTAATTAAATATATTTTTAAAATAATTTCGTTTAAATATATTACTTTAAATAATTAAAAAGTAAGTTATAAAATATATTAGATTTATTAAAATTGATAATAAAATAAATTATATATATACTATTTTAAAAAAAAATTATATAAAATAAAAAAGTTAATTAAAAGAAATATAAATTACAAATTTATTTATTATATTATAATATATTATTAGCACATTTTTTGTTTTATAATATTAGATATAAAGTGTTTTGCGAATTTCATGTATTTATAATGTAAATTTAGTTTTTAATTTTTTTTGAAATTAAACTTATATATGTATAAAAAACTATTTCTTTTATTTTAATCAAATTCATAATAAATAATATTATTTTTGACTTTTGATTTTATTTATTATAATCACATATATTATAAAAAGTCAATTACTTTATTTTTTAAAAAAATTTTAAAATAAAATAAATGTTTATATATATTTTATTTGAATATAAAAATTATCTTATAAATCTTTAAATTACAAATATATATTATTTTAAATTAATATTCTATTAATTTAAATTATATTGATATAAACTTTCTAAAATAAGTAGATAAAATATATTAAATTTTTATTTTAGAATCTATTAAATATATATTTAATCATATAAAATTTAATTATTAATGAACCCATTCTATTTTAAATTTACTTTAATAAAAATATACACTATGCGAATAAAAAAATAAAATTACAAAATGTACTTTATTAAATATAAACACATTTCTATTTTTTTAATTAATTAAAAATAAAATAAAAATAATTTATTCTTCTCCTAAATATAAAATATTAAAATCATATTTATTTTTAAATTTTGCTTTATTTTTCTTAATTACTTTAATTTTTCAAAAATGAATAATAATTAGTAAATATTGATGTATTAATTTTTTTAAATTAATATTTTTTAAGATTTCATAATAAAACTGAGCAGGATCAATAGAATTCAAATTAAAAATAAATTAGTTTTGTAACATAGGCAAGTCGAAAGTATTAATATTTTAATAATATTTAAATAAATAATAATAAAAAAGTAAAAATAATACGAACGATTAAAAACAGTAAAATAAAACAAATAGTTAATTAATTAGAATTAATTGGATTAATTTTATTTACTAATATATTCTTAAGATCTTTTATAATCTAAAAAATACTTTGCTTAATTTAAAAAAATCATTTAATAATTAAAAAATCGATTAAAAAGAAAATGATTAAATAATTGAATAAAAATAATTCAAATAAGTTGATTTAAATATTAAATAAATTATAAATAATATAATATACCAATTTTTATTAATAAATAAAAAGGCTAAAAAAACTATAGTTTTAGATTTAGATGAAACTTTAGTTCATAGTTCATTTCAAAAAAATGCAGATTATGATTTAATAATAACAGTATATAAAATAAATAATTTTTTTATATTAATATTTTTTTTTAAAAAAAAAAAAAAAATTCTAATAAGATCGAAGTCTAATAGTAATAATCTTAAGTATATGTTAAAAAAAGACCTGGATGTGATTTTTTTATTGAAGTTTTAAGTTAATATTATGAAATAATAATTTTTACAGCTAGTCTTTAAGAAGTAATAATATTTAATTTTTGTTGCTTTTAAATTATGATTTATTATATATAAAAAGTACGCAAATCCAGTTATAGATTATATAGATTAAAATAAGAGATCTTCTATGAGACTTTTTAGAGAAAATTGTACTTTGTATAATAATTATTTTGTTAAGGATTTAACTATATTAAAGCGTGATCTAAAAGATGTAATAATTATTGATGTAAGTAACTATATATATATACTTTTATTTGAATATTTTATATTATTAATTATTAGAATTCAGAATAGTCTTTTTTATTTTAACCTTCAAACGCACTTTTAATTGAATCTTTTTTCGATGATTCAAATGATTAAGAGTTATTACTTTTAATTCCTTTTTTGATTATGCTTTCAAGGAATTTCGATGTCAGGCATGTAGGAAACTAACTTTCAGAATTTGAAAATAATGAATAGATTTAATTTATAAATACTGAAAACAATATAGAAATTTTAAATAAATAAAAATTTCATAATGATCTATAAAAAAATTTTGAATAATAATTCATAAATAATATACATTACAAATTATTAAAAAAAAAAATATAAAGTCTATATAACTCTAGCTATAGTTCAACTTCTAGTCTTTCGAGTAGGTTTAGAATATCAAACTATAATCTTTCTGGTGCTGAAATTCCTTTAAATCCAGATAGTAATGATGATTCCAATAGTAATAGTGATAGTGATGATGAAGATATACTAAAAATGTTCGATAATGTAAGATTCTAGCATACTAAAGTTAACTTTAATTCACCTATATCTATAAAAGGTGTTATGCTAAATAGAAAAAAGAAAGGAAGTGTTGATATTTAAAGAAAAACTTATTTTGAATATGATGTTAAATAGAAGAAAAAATCGGATTTAAATTATGTTTTGGCATCTCATAAATATTAGCTTGAAAGTGATGAGATTGTAAAAAGAAAAGAAGTATTAAAATGAATTAAAGTTTATTTTTTTTTATCAAAAATTTAATTCTAAATATTAATTTTACTGAAAAAAAAAAAAAATATATATATTTTTATATATTTGTATAAATTTTTTAAACCGAAAAATTAATAATAATAATTTGGACTAAAATTTAAATATCCTAATTGTTTTGTTAATTTTTTGTTTTATTATTAAATTTATTTATACCTGCTGTAATTTATATTAAAAATGTTATTTTTATTTTTAATTAAAAAATAAATTCAAACGGTATTTATAAAAGAATTTATATTTAGATATTTGTTAATAAATATTAATTTTTATTAAATTAAAATTTTATATAATATATATAAAAATTAAATTAAAAGAAATGAAAAATCATACATTAATTATATTATTATTTGTTTTATTTTAATAAATTTATACATTTAGTTATTTCTTACACAATAATGTAACTATAAGTTAATAAATAAACTGGTTTACCTAAAAATTAGACCATTATCAACCTACTGATAGTAGAGATTGGTAATAAAGATATTTCGTGATGGATCATTATTTTGATAAAACAAAAAGTCCTTTGATAATACTATATATTTGTGGAGAAGGTGAATGTAAAGGGGTTTCAGAAGACAGATCTTTTACAGCTGATTTAGCAAAATAATTTAATGGAATTGTATTTTCTTTGGAACACAGATTCTACGGAGAATCCTAACCATTTGGTAAAAATAGTTAATCATATTCTTTATAAAATCTTAAGTATTTATCTGCTTAATAGGCCTTAAGTGATCTTGCTTAATTCATTTAATGGATTAAATCAAGTAATTAACATGGAGTAGAATAACATATGCCTTGGGTACGGTAGGAGTTCATATCCTGTGCACTTTCAGCTTGGTT